CATTTCACAGTAATAATATTCTTCCTTATCTATTAAATTAATAATTACATTTAATACCTTAAGGTTTTAAAACAAACTATCTTGTAATCGATGTTCCTGAAGCTTACATATTTTAACTTTTTAAAGATCTATTAAAATGTTCCATTAATATTTAACATAAGAAATTATTTTTAGATATTTCAATTGCTTCATCTAAATTTAAAAATTGTTAAGTTTATGAAATCAATTCTTTTCTTAAAAGATATTTATTTTTATATTCATTTTAAGCTGCCTCAATTATAATACTAAGATAACCTTTAAAAAATGTAGACTCTGCATTTGAATTTAAACTTCTTTTAATAGTGACATTACCCTTATTGGTCTTTATTAAACATTCTTCAAATTAAAAATATTAGTTCTTCTACAAATATTGTTTTGCTTTTTCATAATCAATAGTAATTTCAAAAATTTAACATTATTGGACATCTGAAAGAGAATTTGCATCCTCTAGGAATTTATTAATTTTATGAGGTGATTACATTAATTTCTCCATTAAACCAGTAATTTTATCATGCTACTTTTCATCCTAACTCTTTTTTGATAATTTCTTTATGATTAAATCTTTTACTTATTACTATTACATCTATGATTCCAATTCTTACTACAGATGCTTCAGAGTTTCTTAAGACTGTATATGAAAGAGTTCAAATTAATTTTTTGAATCTTAAAGATCTTATTCTCTTAATTTCAATGTATTTTGACATTAGCCTAGTTGTATTTCTAATTAATTTATTTTACCATCTTTATCTGAACTAATTTTTTACAACTATCTATATTTTTCCTAGAGTGCTGAATTTTGTTGTTATGCATTTTATAACTCTAGTTCACTTCTTTTTATTTAACCATTTAATCTTTGTATTTCTGTTTATTAGTTTTACCCTCCAAAATTTTGTTCTTCTAAATCTGATTTTAATTTTTAGATTTCACTTTTTAATTCTTAATTATCCTTTTCTACTATTGACTTTTACTATTGTAAACTTTAACATTCTTTTTTTTATCTATCCATCTATTAATTTTTTTATGTTAGTTCTCCATTTTTTTTCTCAATTTCTTCATTTTCTTCTTCTATTTTTGCATTCAATTCTGAAATTTTCAGATAATTGTTATTGATTTATTAATTCAATTGCTATATTTAATTGTTTAACTATTATATAAATTCCCCTAAAGATTATTTCTCTGAATTTAAAATTTAAACATCTCTTTTTAATTTTCTATTTTCTGAATCTTTATCTTATAGTGTTTGAACTTTAATACCAGCATCGTCTTTAGTTTCCCTAATAATTTTTTTATGTTCATCATTTAAATTTTTTAGTATATTTATTTCTTCATCTTTTCTACTTATTTATTATGCCAATTAACTAATTCTTTATTCAGCTTCCTCCTTTTTTTTTTTTTCTTCTCCATATTTAAGCTTCTCTTTATCTTATTTTATTTTTTATTTTAACACATCAGATACAAAATCTTCTATTTTTTCATTCAACCCCTAAATTTCTTATTTATATATTTGTGCTTAATCATTAATATATGATTAAAGATATTTAATATTATTTTCATATTAACTAACCATTTTTTAATATTATTATTACCAGTAATTTTACAGGTGTAACCTTTCTTAGTTCGTATTTTAAATATCTTTTTACAATTATTAAATTTAGTTTTATAATTTTATATAATCATCTTTTAAGTTTGTAATTTCTCTTGCTTGTTCAATGTTTTGATGCATTTTTTATTCTAACTCTGAATTGATTTAATGATATTTCTCCAAAACTTTATTTATTTAATCTTCTTTTTCTTTATTACATTTGTTTATTTCTTCTTGTGCATTTTTTAGAATATCAGCAATTTTTGTGCTTTTATTTTGAGATAATTAATTTAATCTATCTGTATATTCTATTTCTTTATTTTTCTTTTCTTCTGTTAATTAATTTTTTTCCTATTAGGCTTAAATCAATTCTTCTTAATTTTTTTCATATTTAATCTATAATTCTTTTTTCTCTTTATATAGGGTTGCAGCATCATAAACTTTATAAAACACTTCTTTTTCTCTGTTTTTTCTAGTTTAGTATAAAGCAGTTGATGCAGAGTAAACTTAATCATCCTTCATGTCTACAAGGATAATATTGTCATATGGAATTTAGTTATTTCTATTTTTTGCTATCTCTTTTCTTATATTCACTACTGTACACTTTTCAATTATATGACTTTTTTTATCTGGCATTTCATATTTTACTTTACAAGAATCCATTATTTAAATTATTAATAGAATTTGTAATTTTCATTTTAAACATAAATTAAGAAATAGTTTTAAAAAATTTAAATTAATGGTTTAATTTAATTATCAACGACTAAGACAAAATAAATGAATTTAAAGGTTTGATCATAAAACAATACTTTCTAATTTATAAAGCCCTTATAAACTTAATTAAGTTAATTGAAAATAATTATAAATGTTGTAATTGATTAAATAAAGAAATTGAATTTGATATTAATTTTAGATAAGATATGTTTTAAAGAACATAGCTTAAAATCTATGTTTATCAAATGAAAATAAATTGAATTCATAAACAAGAAATGCATTTTAAAGAGAGAATCAAAGAGTTATCTTAAAGCTTTCAAACTTTGATTTTACTACAATTAGAAGCTAGACTGTTGATCAAATATGGATTAAAAGAACTTCTAACTTTAACTTAAAATTTAAATAATGTTGAAAGAGAGTCAAAATCAAATAAGTAAGATGAATATATTTTTTTATCATAAATATGTACTCATAGATAAATTTAAAAATGTGTGATTGTTACATCAATATTATTTTTGTTTTATTCAAATACAAGCGGAGTAATATGGTACATTATTCAAATATAAATATTACATGAAAAAGGATAGTGAATTAAAAAGGCTACAGGCAATAAAATTAATTCCTGGAGATGTTATAATTGTATAAACTTATTTTAGGATATCAGAATAATAGAAAAAAAATGAAATGAAGATTGACAAAACTAATAATTTTTTAAAGGTTTGCTAGCTTCAATGTTTATAGATTGACATTACCAGTTAATTATAATTTTAAGAATAAAGAGATGGAAAGATGAAATAACCAAAAGAATCTAAATGGAAGGCAGCTTATGATAAAAAGTCTTGTTGAAAAGTGGATATTTTTTAATAATTGTTGAATTGTTGAATAGTAACTGAAAATTCGCATTAGCGCTTATTAACAAAAAGGAACTTGTAAAACTTTGAATAAAAGGATGCTTACTTTTAGAGATGAGATTAAAAATTGGCAAGGCTTCTCTAGATTACATTTAAGAAAATAACAATATCTACTTGGATATTAATGTAACTTAGTTACAATAATTTTTTTTTAATTATTTCATAATAGATTATTAAATAATACAATAAAAATTTTAGATACTTAATTGATAGCTCAAAATCACGCTTTAATTCTTGCCTATCTTTATCATGTATTTATTAAATTCTGATTGATTCATCAAAAAGGATTTGAAAATAATTATTACTTTTCTTTTTCTTAGCTCGATAATTGAATTTATTTTTTTTAAATTCTATGCTTCTGAACTGAAAGCTTCTTTTAAAGCGTAGAGTTATAATTATTTTAGCTACAAATAATTTTTCATAAAATTTTGAACTTCTTTTTTTTGATTATTTTAATTTTACTTATGTTTTTCATTTATGTTATCAATATAATGATACTAATTTCTTAAACTTGTATTCTCAAGAAAGTCTTATTATATATTGAGCAAATTTCATCTATTTTGCTTCTTGAACTTTGTATGAGAAAGATATTTTATTATTTGATCAATCCATATTGAGCAATTAAAAGGATTTAAATTTCTTCCTTTGCTGCCAACTTCTTTTACTGTTGGATGTCATGAATATAAAATAAAAATTTAGTCAAAGCTTTTTAAGGGCTCTTTTCATTTTTAACTTTAATATTTAATAGAAAAATAGGTAAAAATAAAAGAATTAACAAAAACAATAATGAGATCTATTAACTATTTTGCCATATTGATCTCTTAGTAAATATGCCTTTTCTTTAAAAAACTTATAAATAGTTCCTTGATTCAAAACAATAACGATAGCTAATATCCTTTATTGAATAGAATGTTTAGAACTATTTGGTTAGAATGAAACCAAATAATTTTAACTGGAATAGAATATTAGTAGAAATTTTAGGACAGTTGATTCCAAATCGTTAGATGAATTTATTATAATGTATGAATTTTCAATAGGAGAAACTATATCTGAAGAAATTATTAAGGAAGTCTAAATTACGATTGTATTCTAAAAACAACAGTTTGCTTCTAATAAATTATATGTGTTTGATGAAATTAGAAAAATATTAAAAAAAATTTTTATTCCTACAATCCTATTATNTTAAATTCTGATTGATTCATCAAAAAGGATTTGAAAATAATTATTACTTTTCTTTTTCTTAGCTCGATAATTGAATTTATTTTTTTTAAATTCTATGCTTCTGAACTGAAAGCTTCTTTTAAAGCGTAGAGTTATAATTATTTTAGCTACAAATAATTTTTCATAAAATTTTGAACTTCTTTTTTTTGATTATTTTAATTTTACTTATGTTTTTCATTTATGTTATCAATATAATGATACTAATTTCTTAAACTTGTATTCTCAAGAAAGTCTTATTATATATTGAGCAAATTTCATCTATTTTGCTTCTTGAACTTTGTATGAGAAAGATATTTTATTATTTGATCAATCCATATTGAGCAATTAAAAGGATTTAAATTTCTTCCTTTGCTGCCAACTTCTTTTACTGTTGGATGTCATGAATATAAAATAAAAATTTAGTCAAAGCTTTTTAAGGGCTCTTTTCATTTTTAACTTTAATATTTAATAGAAAAATAGGTAAAAATAAAAGAATTAACAAAAACAATAATGAGATCTATTAACTATTTTGCCATATTGATCTCTTAGTAAATATGCCTTTTCTTTAAAAAACTTATAAATAGTTCCTTGATTCAAAACAATAACGATAGCTAATATCCTTTATTGAATAGAATGTTTAGAACTATTTGGTTAGAATGAAACCAAATAATTTTAACTGGAATAGAATATTAGTAGAAATTTTAGGACAGTTGATTCCAAATCGTTAGATGAATTTATTATAATGTATGAATTTTCAATAGGAGAAACTATATCTGAAGAAATTATTAAGGAAGTCTAAATTACGATTGTATTCTAAAAACAACAGTTTGCTTCTAATAAATTATATGTGTTTGATGAAATTAGAAAAATATTAAAAAAAATTTTTATTCCTACAATCCTATTATACCCCATTTTTGATTAAAATTCAACTTTTACATAATATTCAGAAAGTTCAAAATAGCGGTAGTTTCTAAAATTTAATATAATTAAGAAAAATAATAATTTCAGAGACTCTACTTCGCAACAAAGAAATAATTTGTAAAAGAAACAAGAACAACATATGTAATTAAGGATAGGATACATTTATATAGAATAAAAAATATAATAACTTTTCAACTTAAATAACCTATTTCATGTATATAAATTTAAATTTATGGATAAATTTCATTGTTGCAAAAGGATCGACTAAATTCATAAATATTCAAATTGTAATAAGTTGTTCATGAGAATGAATCATTGTATGGATATGTATTGTACATTTTCAACTTATAAGAATTACAATTAATTCTATCAGTTTTTAAATTAGTTTTTTTGGATTGGTTATTAAATTTTGAAATGAAAAAAATTTTAGATACATGCCTTTAAAATAAAAAAATAATGATCATTATAAATAAGAATGGTTTTGAAATATATAATTATAAATAATTAAAAGAGGGATTACAATAAATATTTATCTACTTCATTAAATTAATTCTTATTGATCTAAGTTATTGATGAAAGATTATCCATTTGTATTTATTTCTATAAAATGACTAGTTTATACGGAAGTCAATATCTGTTCACTACCAGGATTTTGTTTATGATCAAAAAAACTCAAAATTTTTTCCACATCAGGAACATAATTAAAATCTAAAATATGAGCAAATTGTTCTGGGATGTTAAGATCTATTTTTCTTAGCTTATTTCTCCATTCAATTTCTTAATTTCGGTGATCAATTTTAATTTAATTTTCTATCTCAATCAATTTTATTTTATTAAAATATTACACCCATATTTCATCATCAAATTAATTACTTAATTGTCTTATTAAAGCTTATTCCTATATACTCTAATCAAAAATAGATGACTCTTAAATTTAACTGTAAGTACTTTTCCATTCAGTCATTTAACTGCTCCTGTTACTCATTGAATATTTAGATAGATCACCATACTTTGTATTAGATGTATCTTCTGTAATTTTATTCTAAATATATTTTGCTTAATTTTGTTCTGTAAGTTGCTAAGATTATTCTTGTTTTATGAACATTTCTTCTTTAATGATCTACTTTAATAGATTCAAAAATGCATCTCTTTAGTATTATTTCTCTAAACTACAATCTGGTGTCAAATTAAATTAGTTTGTGGTTAATATAATTGATTCTTAATCTTTTTTTGTTTATTATTAATTAGAAATATAGTTTTTTATCAATTTACTAAGATTTGTTTTAATTTTTTCTTATAAATAATTTAATCCGATTGGAAGAATAATAATTTATACAGTCCATCTATTTATAATTTCTTAGAGAAACTTAGAATCAGCTAAAATAATTATTTAGATTATTACATTGAATATATTCCTAGAAAAGCGAATAATTTGATCCAAATAATTATGATGCTTTTTAATAAATGGAATGTGTATCCTTAACAATGTTTTATAGTAAAGTAGCATATGGTTACCCAACTTTTAATTTTGAGTGTCCTATCCAATGAATAGATAATTCATGCATTGAAATATCTAATAAAGCCGATGATAAATGCCCTAATAAACAGTTTATGGCGTTTGATATTTATTAAAAATATTAATCTTTAAATATCAGATTCTTAGTCGAATGGCTGAGCTGTTTTTATTACTGTTAATCCAATATAAAAACTTATAGAAATTAATATCTTTTATCACTTAATAAAATATTAAATGACTACAATATACTCTATTCAATAGTTTCATTTGATTCTGTTTAATCTTGCACATCTTTCAAAACCACTTATGTCCAGATTCTTCCTGCTATCGTTATAAAACTATAAGAAGGAATATTGGTTTTATAAAAATGAGTGAATATTTAATGGACATATTTAAATAGATGTTCAAAATATATATTTAATCTCCAAATAATTCCAATATATGTTCTCCATAAAATAATATAGAAATTTAAGATTTAAGCCTATACCTTACCTTTTTAAATTATCCTTAAGACATTTCTAGTAAATAAGCATCTCAAATATAACATATGTAAAATATGAGCTACTAAATTAAGTAAAAAAGGCACATTATTTATAGTAGAAGGATCTCTTATAAAATTATCAACAATAACCCATTTTATTTCCATTAACAATTATGTATGCTATAAGTTTTAAATTTAATATTCATTCAAACATTCTTCATAATATTATTGAAACTATTCATTTAAGCATTAATCTGATGGTATGTTACAATCAATTTCATCACTATTTTATGCCATATATAATTAAAACCAACTTGTTGTGGCTTACTTGAGCTAATCATCAGTTAAAATAGCTATTGGTAATAAAGGTTCATTTAGTGAATTAACAATTAAATCACTCAAATTTTAACTTAAATTCCTCTCTCTATTCAATTTATTCATGATAAATCTATTTAACTTTCAAATTTACTTTGATTTTTAAAATGACTGGTAGATCCAAAACCAACTTTCATCTTAATTTAATTCTATCTTTAAAAGCTATTCCCCAAATGCTGCTTAAAATCTTAGATCTGATCCATACTCAATAAAGCTTGAAATTTGTATCTTCCTTATATATAATTAACTCAAATAGTTTGCATAAATGTTGCTGCTCAATTCCACCATAAACTTGAGCTTTTTGTTAACTAATCTTAATTATAAGACTTCTTAGATGTTCAGAAAATTGAAAACGTATTGAATTAATTTCACCGAATATAAAGGCATGTCTTCTGCAATCAAACGACTTAAATTTTCAATATTTCAAATACTTTAAAATTCCTCTCTGGTTTTTTTAATTTTGTAAGTTTCTGAAATTATTGTTTTAATATATATTTCCAATTTAAGGTTACTAATTATTAATTTAAAGACTATCCTTTTGTCTTTAATTTCCTAACTTTTGTTAATTTTGAATGCTTTGATTTCCCATAATTATTAATATTCCATAATCAATTATGAAAAATAATTATATAATATCTCAATAATATCAATATGGAAAATAAAGTTCTTGATACAATCCTAAACTGACTTTTACTCCTCAAAGCAAGCTCGACATATTATTCATTCAATCAATATAGATTTTAAGATCTATATTGATTCAAATAATATTAATTTCTAAATTTAATATAAATCAAATCAAGTTTTTTTAATCAATAAAAATATTTATCATATTTGATTTTTAAGTAATAAAATTATTAAAAAATTTTATTAGGACCTTCATATTTATTCTTTTTTGTAATTATTTGATTATTAATAACTAATATAATTTTTTTAATTTCTAATTCTATTAGTCTAAGTTTATGAATAAAATTTAAACACAATTTCTATTAATAATTTAAATAATGGAACCTTGTAAAGTAAATTATGAAATGCCAGATAAAAAAAGTTATAAGATTGAAAAGTGTACAGTAGTGAATATAAGAAAAGAGATAGCAAAAAGAAATAACGGAAATAACTAAATTCCATATGACAATATTATCCTTGTAGACATGAAGGATGATTAAGTTTACTCTGCATCAACTGCTTTATACTAAACTAGAAACAACAGAGAAAAAGAGGTGTTTTATAAAGTTTATGATGCTGCAACCCTATATAAAGAGAAAAAAGAATTATAGATTAAATATGAAAAAAATTAAGAAGAATTGATTTAAGCCTAATAGGAAAAAAATTAATTAACAGAAGAAAAGAAAAATAAAGAAATAGAATATACAGATAGAATAAATTAATTATCTCAAAATAATAACACAAAAATTGCTGATATTCTAAAAAATGCACAAGAAGAAATAAACAAATGTAATAAAGAAAAAGAAGATTAAATAAATAAAGTTTGGAAAAAATGTAATTAAATCGAATCAGAGTTAGAATAAAAAATGCATCAAAACAATGAACAAGCAAGAGAAATTACAAACTTAAAAGATGATAATGGAAAATTATTTAACTAAGTTTAATAATTGTGTAAAGATTTAGAAAAAGTCAAATTAGAAAAGGCAGATATGTTAAATAAATGGTAAAACTACCACTAAGGTGAGTTAAATAAATGGAATAATTATATTTAAAATTATAATAAATAGAATTGTGACTTACAACAAATGAATGAACAACTTAAATATGAAGCTTAAGCATTAATTGATAATATAAGTCAGAAAGAAATTGATATGGCAAAACTCACAAAATAATTAAAAATTGATAAGGAGAAGTATGAAAGAGAAAAAAAAACAATGGAGGAGTAAAATGAATAAAAATATAATCAATTGGAACAAGAAAAAGCTTAGAAAGATAAAGTAATAAAAGAACTTAAAAAGGTAAATGAAGAATAAGAAGATACTATTAGGCAAACTAATATTGTTAAAGATGATAAAGTTCAAACACTTTAAGATAAAGATATAGAAAATAGAAAATTAATAAGAGAAGTTAAAAGTTTAAATTTAGAGAAATAATCTTTAGAAGACAATAATAAATAGTTAATCTATTAAACATAGCAATTGAAATAATAAATCGATAACTATTATCTGAAAATTTCAGAATTGAATGCAAAAATAGAAGAAGATAATGAAGAAATTGAGAAAAAAAATGGAGAACTAACATAAAAAAATTAATAGATTGATAAATAAAAAAGAGAATGTTAAAGTTTACAATAGTAAAAGTCAACAGTAGAAAAGGATAATTAAGAATTAAAAAGTGAAATCTAAAAATTAAAATCAGATTTAGAAGAACAAAATTTTGGAGGGTAAAACTAATAAACAGAAATACAAAAATTAAATGGTTAAATAAAAAGAAGTGAACTAGAGTTATAAAATGCATAACAACAAAATTCAGCACTCTAGGAAAAATATAGATAGTTGTAAAAAATTAGTTCAGATAAAGATGGTAAAATAAGTTCATTAGAAATACAACTAGGCTAATGTCAAAATACATTGAGATAAAGAGAATTAGAGCTTTAAGACTAAAAAAAATCATTTGACAGCTTTAGTGTACGGTCTTAAGAAACTCTGAAGCATCTGTAGTAAGAATTGGAATCATAGATGTAATAGTAATCAGTAAAAGATTTAATCATAAAGAAATTATCAAAAAAGAGTTAGGATGAAAAGTAGCATGATAAAATTACTGGTTTAATGGAGAAATTAATGTTATCAGCTTTTAAAATTAATAAATTCCTAGAGGATGCAAATTCTCTCCCAGATGTCCAATAATGTTAAATTTTTGAAATTACTATTGATTATGAAAAAGCAAAACAATATTTGTAGAAGAACTAATATTTTTAATTTGAAGAATGTTTAATAAAGACCAATAAGGGTAATGTCACTATTAAAAGAAATTTAAATTCAAATGCAGAATCTACATTTTTTAAAGGTTATCTTAGTATTATAAATGAGGCAGCTGCCAATGAATATAAAAATAAACATCTTTTAAGAAAAGAATTGATCTCATAAACTTAACCATTTTTAAATTTAGATGAAGCAATTGAAATATCTAAAAATAATTTCTTATGTTAAATATTAATGGAACATTTTAATAGATCTTTAAAAAGTTAAAATATGTAAGCTTAAGGAACATCGATTGCAAGATAGTTTGTTTTAAAACCTTAAGGTATTAAATGTAATTATTAATTTAATAGATAAGGAAGAATATTATTACTGTGAAATGGTAGAAGAAGGAGATTGTAGAAAAATAAATGGAGGTCATTTCATTCCTCAATTAAATGACTCATATTTTAATGCATTCTCTAAATATGTGTGTTACTTGTCAAATTAAAATTATACTATAACACATATTCATGCTTGTGGAAATTATATTTATGATATGATTGTTAGTACAAATATCAAAGGATTATTCTCACCTTTAGATTAAGGACCAACTGAAATTGGATAATTTTTAGATATCATTAATTCTTCTCCAGCAAATGTAATAAATCGTCATTGGAATAACAATATTGAAGATACTGCTAAAAAAGGATTTATTTGAATAATATTAATAAGACAATAAATATCATAAATTATAATTTTATACAATAGATAATCGAAAGTTGTAATTTTCTTATGATAAATGATTAATTATATGTAATTTATAAATGAAATGATCTCCGTCTTAGATTATAATTGGAATTAATAGAAATGAACAAGTGATTCATTCTAAATGAAAAGAATATAATTTGTTACTACCAATAACTAAGTATATCAGTACTTTTACATATATTATTATTAATAGTAATAAGTCATGATTAAACAAATTTCTAATCTGATAAATTAATTTGATAATGAGATTAATTTAAAGAAAATAATCTTACTATTAATAGTTTTAACTGTATAAAATAGATGATCTCACTAAAATTGATTTTATGGAAGTGAAATATTCATAATATAATTATTTCATTTCTAAAAAAATTGTTAGTTTCTTAATTTTTTTAATACTTTGCTCCAAATCTGCCTCAAATATCTATATTTTGATTCTTCTTCATTATTTTAGTACCTTTTGTGGAATCTAATAATTTTGACGCCCTTCTTTATTTCCATACTAAAGTTAAAGTGTAATGTATGAAAACAATATATCTAATCCACTAGATTATAAGGTTCTAGAAATGATAAAAATTTAAAGAATTCAAAAAAAATAAGCAATACAAAAATTATTTGATAGAAAGTAAATTCCTGCTTTTTTATTTAAGATGAAAATTAAATAGAGTTAAAGAATAGAAAGGAATAAATAAATATAATTTTATAGGTTAAATTAAAAAATGAATTGGTTATTAGAAAATGCAACAATGCACTGTTTAAATTTCTATTAATTTAGAATTGATAAATATTAGGGATATAATAAAAAGAGACTGTGTGCTTTGTAATAAAACTATATTAAGGAAATATTAAAAATAAAGGAAGTGTAATTCAAGGTACTTAAATACCAAAATATCAAGAATGGGATTTGTATTAAAAAATTAGAGTAGAATTTTTACGATTTATAAACCATACAGAGTATTAAAATTTGATAAAATATACAGATATATGACAAATATCAGCAAAAATTCAACAAAAAAGAGGTTTCTAAATCCTTGAATGACATTATATAGAAAAATTACATAAATTTGAAAAACTTAAACCTCAATTAAGATATCAATTTGGAAGAGACTCAAAATATGTAATAAATGAAAGATTGAATTAACAGATGGGATAAATAACGATAATAATAGCAGGTACATTTTAGGAGATATTTTTTATTGACATTAATAAGTTTAAAAAAATAATACTTAAACTTTCTTCCTCTGCTGGCTAAATAAATTCAAACTAATTAGTTGGTTTTAAAAATGTTTCATTTTTTTGCTTGCTTTCTTAGTAAATATATATTAACAAGGTAAAGAAGAGTGTAAAAGTTTTAATGTCAATAAAATATATGAGAAAAAAAAACATATATAATTTATATAAGAATAAGCGAAGGTTAAAGTAGAAATGATAGTCTTTATAATAAAAACAGAGGAATATGATTATATAATGAAAAGAAGAATTAACTATAAGAAAAACAAAAAAATCCCTAATTTGCTCATCAATTAGAAATGAAAACAAGCCCAGATTAGTTTTTGATTTATACTCTTAGTTGAGTAAGAAATCAATTTAAACTCTGTATATATTGTAAATAGAAAAAGACTAAAAAATTTTGCTAATCACAATTAGCATGTGTTTAGGTCTTATTTGAATCAAGATTTAATTAATTGAGGTTTTTAATATAATAATTCATTTCAAATTCTCATTTTCAAAAATTCTTTCACTTTGATTGACATCTATCGTACTTTGCTAACTTTAATAAAAATAAAATTCAAAAGTTTAGGTAATGATTCGGTTTTCAATGTTCAAAAAGGAATCTTCATCATGAAATTCTTAAGTAAAACTTTTGCATAGTCTATTAACATGTGAATCTTCTATCATATGTTTTCCAGAATCTGAGAATTCTTCAATATCTTCATCTTAAATATCTATTTTAGAGTCTAAAAATTTGTAGCTTTAAAAACTAATATCTAGAATTTCATCTTCTTAATTAAGAAGAATTTTTTTATTATCTATTTTATATAATCTAAGTATTACTTGAGTGAATTTGTTTAGATTTATTATCTTAAGAGATTGAAGAAAAATTTTTATTACTCATAACTTGTTTGAAATCCTTTTCCATACTTCTATTTCTTATAGGAACAATATAATATGGGTTTTCTAATTTTGCATAAAATTTTCTTATATGTCCATAAAATCTATTTTTGATTGTGTTCTCCTAAAAAGTCAATTAAATAAAAATTTACAGGTCTCCCTTGGAGAATTTATGAAATTTTCGACCATTTTGGTCCATACTATTAATATAATGACCACAACGATTAATCCTCTTCTAATGTCCATGGTCTTTTGTTGATAAGAGGATCTAAATGATTGATATAGCGTTCTCGAACCTATTTTGTTGTTCTATTTTGCATGAAGCTTGTTATTTTCTTCCATTCAAATTTATGTTATGTTACAAGTCTTCTAAGAAAGTCATCTTCGGCAGGAGTCCAAAAATTTTTTTTTTCAATCTAATAATAAGGAATTAATCTTTACGGTTGGAGGTTTAATTCTTTTCCATCTTTACGAACACTAACTCCCATTTCTTCCTATAAAATATTCAGCTATCGTTTTCCAATTTGAGTTATGCAGTTTAACAGCCTTCTCTAATAATTTATCTTCTTAGTAAGTCCAATATTTTCTTTTCTAAGTTGAAATTGCAGTTTTTTTTTGATTTTAATGAAGCATCTTAAAATATTTTCTAATAAAGAAAAGTGCTGTTAAGTTATAAATTAATCAAAATAGTCAATAATATATTGATTTTAATAAAAATGAATAAGGATTATGAATATATAAATTCTCAATCCTATCCTGTTTCTAACATACTTAAATTATTGAGATTATATTTTGTTATAAACTATTATAGAATTTATTTATTATAAAGAAAAATTAAGCAAAGAAAAAAAATTTTATTTCAAAAATATTGAAAATAACACCTTTAGATCAATTTGTTTTATTTTTAAATATCAATTATTCATTAAAATCAATGATAGAACATATTTTATGATATTTTTTTGTTATTGAATTTACTTTAAGTGGTTATCCTATTTTATGAACTAATGTAAAGTCTTTATTAATTTACCTTTATATATATAAAAACAAAATTATTCAATCTAAAATTATTTATTTTAAACAATAAAATTTATTTGAACAATTCATCTGATTGATTGATATAAATAATTTTTCATTTTTTATTCATAAATCTTTAAATTATTTATTCAAACTACCTTATAAATTATGCTTGCTATTATAGTATCAACCAAAATTAAAACAACATATTTGAACTCTTTTAAAAAATAATTATTTTAGTGACAAAATATTTTTTTTTGCCTTATTATTCGAGTATAGAGTATAAAGGAATTAGGCATTTTATCCTCATTTGTGAATATAAATAAGGAAACACAAAAATAATTGCCATTTATCTTAACAAAATTCTGTTAAATTTTATTATTAATGACATAACAACAAATTTTTAACAACAATCCTATTATATTCCTTTGCCTAAAATGATAATTTGAGATCATTTCAAATATGATTAAGAATATCAAGTGATCTATTTTATTAAAAGTAATTAGATTCATATTATTCCTTCAAAATACATAATATACTTAAAAATCAGAGTTTTATTTTGGTTAACTTGTATTTAAAATAATAAATACTTGACTATCGTTATCTAATTCATTTGATTTAAATGTTTTCTTCTTTCAATGAATGTTAAATAAATATGAAATAATAACAGCATGTTTAAATCTATACAATAGTTAAAAAAAATATTTAAAAAATGAATATGTTAACCTAGTAAAAATAAGAATAGAAACTTTTAATAATTTTTATTTTACTAGGAAATCAAAAAAAGATTTGAAAAATCCTAATTACGCATTATCAGAATTTAAAGCAAATTAGGATTTGTATTTTTTATTTAAATAAAAATAAAAGTTAACGAAGATGTCCAGATCACTACTAGCTTTATTGCTCATCTCCATGCTCGCATTTAGTGCTCAAGGTAAACTACACATTTATATCATCACTAACCGCTATATATTATTTATTTATTCACAAATTCATATCTCCTGACTCAACTGAAAAATTATACTTTTAGCTGCCACACGTAGTAAGCATGTTACAAAATATTCCAAACCAAGCTCATCTGACGCTTAATCATATTCAGAAGAAGAAGAAGAATCAGAAGAATATTCAGACCTTGAGGCTTAATATTCATCAGAAGAGGAAACAGAGGAGGAATCTGATGCTCATTCATCATCTGAAGAAGAGGAAGAAGAATCTTATACAAGTTCATCATCTGAATCTGAATAAGAATCCGAAGAATCAGAGAGATGTAATACTAGGATTTCATTTTAGTTGTTTACCGTAAACACAATCCTACAACTGCAGCCCCTGCTCCCACCACTAATTCCACAACCAGAGCGAAAAATGGAGCTCTACTTGCCGGTTTAGTCGTAGCCGCCATTGTTTTCTGATAAATAAAAAGAATATTCAAAATAATTATCTTATAAAACATCTTTTTCGCTTCAGATTCCTCTCAGATTTGTAATAATTTTGTAGTTAATTAATATATCCAAAAAAAAATATTTTTAATTTCATCTCACTGAATGTTTGATTTGAGCTCAAAAGAAGAACAACAACGACTATTTCACTTTAAATTAAGCTTATCATTAATGTTACCTCAACTTTTGATTATCAATTATAAACTTCAAAAGAAAATCAATTAATATATATTCATAATTTCAAGATTCCTATTCTCAAATTTTGATATCACTAATCAACATATTTAGAATTTACTCTTCTTTTTTAAACAAATAAGTTTAAACTAATTTGCTTTCTTTTTTCTTTATTTTGTATTAAATCAAACTTCCCAAATTTTCTTCTTAAATTTATAAACGTTCAATAACATCAGAAGTTAAAGCCCTGTAGTTAGGTTTGCAATCAATTAATAATAAAATTTTTAATATAATTGCTTGTTTCCTCTACTACTTGATATATTGAATTATCCTTCAATATAGATTATCTTTTTCTAAAATAATTAGTTTCTTCGAATTTCTTATTAATTTCCTCAACTGATGCCATATAATTTGAATCAAGTTGAAATTTTCTATAATCCTAAAAAATTGATTAATCTAGCCAATGATGAATCAATTGCTTTATCATATAATAAGGAGTGATTCCTTGAAACTTACTTTTGTGAAAATCTAATACATCCTATATTTTAGGAATACTTTATATCAGCTTTAAAATTATATTGAGAGCATACTTCTCATTTTTGATATTAATAATTTGATTGAAATTTTCAAGAAAATTTTTAAATAGATCAATGAATGTGTATTTTGAAGTCACCTTTTGATTGACGATTGTTTGATAAATACTTTAACATTCTCTTTCTCTCTAAATTCGATTGCTCTCTAATTTCTTTTTCTTTTTCACAAACATTTCTCTTAATCTTTAAATTTCAAATTTTTAAGTAGCTATTGGAAAATTTGAAGAAAGTTAAGTATTTTGAGCTTCTGTCAAAAGAGGTAGTTACTTTTTTACAATAGATCTTCTTAATCACTTATTTTTAGAATTATCATGCTTGCTGTCATTAGCTCTAAATAAAAAGTAGATTTAAAATGGAGTATTCTTTTAGTTTTTCATTGTTAAATTATGAAGCTATTCAAATTTAGAGTAGTTTTTTATACTTCTTTCAAACAAAAAAATGTTTTTCTTAATCTTTGAAAGTTGCAAGAAAATATTGATTAATTTATAGTATAGTTTATTATAACTTGCTTTTTCAAAATGAAAAATTGAATTTTTTGATGTTTCTACTCTTGAAGATCTTGAAAATTGATTATTTTCATTCATATCTAACTTGAATCAAACTTTTTATGAGTGGAGTCTTGGATATCTTAAAAATATATACATAAATTATATTATTTTAATAAATCAAAACCTTATTTCAAATTATTCTATTCTTCAAATAACACTTACTAAATATTTGATTCAAATAATAATGGATTCTATTTGTAAAAAAGCTAAGTTATTATTTTAAATGGAAATTATTTAACAAATTAGCATGATGAAACCCATTCAAAATACTACTTTTGTTTTCAGGCCTTGGTATCATTTTAAAAAATAAAGCAAAAATGATCTCCTCAATTAAAAATAAAATTTGTAAAATTGATATAAGATTAAATGAACTTAATATTGATTCCTATCAAATATATAATATATCTATATTCCATAAATGAGTTTAATAATTTTTTTCTAAAGTTGTAACAAAATTATTGGATTTTTATATTTTTCAAAAATAATTAAATTATTTATTAAAATTACACTAAAAGTATATGGGATAAGCTTTGGAATCTTGCTGTAATAAGAATAAAAATATTGTAAAATCAAGTGTAGCTCTTTCAAACTAGAGTTTGGATGAGCGGATTGAAATTACAGAAGAATTAATTCAAAAATTAAAATAATAATTATGTGATGTCAAAAAGAAATTAGGAGATCTTCAGGTCTAAAATTCATTCAATATTACATAAAATGATGTTTGGCCAATTAAAGTATTTATAAAGTAATAATTAGTTATTAGGAAGGGGATCATTTGGAAAAGTATATTTAGTCAAAATTAAAGATAAGCTATATGCTATGAAATAGATTAAAAAAAAGCTAATATTAAAGAAATAACAATTAGAAAATTTGCTTTGTAAATTATATAAATATGATTTTAGATGAAAGATTCATATTGTAAAAATATGATCATCCTTTTATTATAAAAATGTATTTTGTTTATCAAGAGCCTTTATTTATCAACATGGTTATGGAATTTGTATAAGGAGGAGAATTATTTTATCATTTGAATAAACGAAAAAAGTTTGATTAAAAAACGACTGCTTTTTTTGCTTCTTAAATAGTATTGGCACTTGAATTTTTACATGAAACAGTTGGAGTTGCTTATAGAGATCTGAAGCCTGAAAATGTTTTGCTCTGTAAAGATGGTTACATAAAATTGGCAGATATGGGTTTAGCAAAGGATAATAGTGAATTAAATTATTCATTTTGTGGTACTGCTGAATATTTAGCACCTGAGATGATAGAGGGTAAAATTTAATTTAAGAATAAGAGAAGGGACATAATTCATCAGTTGATTTTTGGACTTTAGGCTGTATTATTTTCGAAATGCTTTTTGGTCATCCTCCATTCTAAGATGAAAATAAGAAAAATTTATATATCAAGATCTAAACAGGAGAATACAAGTTTCCACCAAAAGCAAGCGAATCAGCATAATCTCTTATTAAAGGATTATTGTAATATCATCCTGAAGAAAGATTAACTTTTTAATAGATTAAATAACATGAATTTTTTAATGAAATAGATTTTGATTAAATATATTAAAAGAAATTAAAGCCACCATTTGAACCTTTATTGACAACTGAAAAAGATACGAGAAATTTCGATTATGTATTAGAGAGCTAATTGAAATAATCAGAAATTCCAAATATACCTTAAGCATAAGAATTATTTGAAGACTTTCCTTATTTGGTGAAAAAGTAATTATAATTTTGAATATATAATAAAAATATCATATTTTATAGTCAATTTAAGCATAGAGTTATACTTATTATATTAAACTAATACAGTATTAAAAATTTTAATAATATTATAAACAAGAATAAGCATTTCCGTACTTCTGTATAAGTTTTTTCTATTATACAAGAACTATCCTTTTAATTTGAATTTAAATCAATTGATTTAATTTTAGAATCTTCATTTTTTAATTGAGAATGGTTTGTTTCTTTATCTTATGCAAGAAATTCTGTGAGTAATTTTATAATTTGAAGATTCGCCGATAATTTTTGAGCCATCTCATTTCTTTTGCTCAAGAAATGGTCATCTCTATAGTTTAATATCTGCATAAGTTTTTATTTTTAACTCAAAGTTTTAATAATCAAATTTATATCTTTACAAGGAATTCTATCATTATTAATTACATTTATGTCTGCTTTATAATAATATCCTAGTTGAACTAATTATTTTATGAATTCTTCCTTATCTTAAATTAAATATTATGGAATTTCACCACTAATAACACTTTCTTTTTGTTTATACTTTTTCATTTCATATTTTTACATGAATAAAATCATAAATCTGTGCTTAGTGTTTTTTTCCTTTAAAAATCTAGGAATCTATGGATTTCTACAATAGTTTTTTTAGATCTTAACTCAATTAATTTATCCCCATCTAAAACTATCATAATTTAAATCTTCTTTAATTATCTGTAAACTAAGTTGCTTAAGAATAAATTTAAGAAAAAAGGTTCGCTCATGCAATAAAACTCCCTTAAAATATTACTTTATATTAATTGATGATCTCTTCAACTTTCTCCATATACATAAAAGCCAAAAATGTTTTCTGTGCATGCAAATCAATGACTACAATATAGTAATATGGAGTTAATTTAGCTTCAAATCCTTAGCCTGGCTTTCTATTGTTATAAAATTCCTAACATATATATTTCGATGCGTTTTTCTAATCGTTAGATATATGTAATTATGCTATCCATCTTCATTCGATAAATAATAAGAATTTTTGAAATCTAATCTAACTATAACTAATATCTTTATTTAATTTAATTTTAAAAACTAAATCTAAAATATAATTTCCCTTGTATAAGATTTAATTATCTAACTATTAAAATATTTGATGTCATTTTCAATTTTTTTCAAGAATTTTCCATAAATCATTGTAAATAATTTCACATTCTCCCAATTATGTAGTTCCTTTAGTTTTGTTTAGTTTTGTTGTATTCTTCTATTTGCAATTACAAAGTGATTAATGAAAATCATTAAATTTGACAGCTTATTTTTTTAATATTTTATTGGCTGTTTGACATCCTTAAATAAATTTCAACTTTTTTTAAATTACTTTCACCACAAATTAGAATAGAATTGTGTAACTACCCGTATTCCATTCTGCTCCTCTGATATGCAGTATTTTTATCTATTTGACTTTTTGTTAATGATAATTCTTTAAATCAAATAAGTCAAGCACAAATTATAATTCTAATTTTACTCTCAAAAAAAAAACTCTTATCTTTTTAAATAATCTATGGCATTCAATTCATCGATATAATAAATTTCAAATCTAAGTTTTGTTATTTTCAAAAATATAATTAACTATTAAAATCTCAACAAAATTTGGATATATACTTTCTGAAAGTATCTCTGTTCTATTTATGTAAGTCCTTTTATTAATATAATTTATAAAGATTATTATATACTCATTTTCATAAGATGCAACTAAAAGTGGATCTGTTAAAGAGAATGCATCCATCTTAGGTAAACCTTCATAATAAACGAATAATTATCTGTTTAATATTATTTTTTCAACTTAAATAGTATTATTATTTGATTTTTTCCATCTTAAAGTGTTCTAAATATTTTATCAACTTGAATAATCGAGGTATATTGATTTACTTTAGAAAAATAATTGAAAGTGGAAAACTAAAAATTTAACTTAAAAAAATTTCAATCCTAAAATAAATCGATAGATAGAATTAGTGATTAAATTATATTTTTTTAAATTTATACATATGCAATTAAATTTCAAAATAAGTTATTATAAATTAAAAAGTAACGATTGGGTTCCCCAATATAAGACAGCCTTTTAAAATTAACTTTCTTTTTCAAATCTTAAAAAAACTTCAATAACTTGTAGGTTAAGTTCTTCTTCAAGATTTTTATAAACATAATTAAATTAAAATGTCATAAGCAGAATCGGGATAACTTGCAGATTCATGTAGAACTGCTCATACTATAAAATCAATTTTGAAAATTTCTAAAAAGGACAAAGGACTAATGGAAACTCGAATAGATTCTATTGGAAATAAAATTGTAAAAGGAGGAAATCATAAAATTACTTTTAAGCCAGTTTCATAAAGCCCTGTCACTAAAAATTTAATGAAAAACAAAATATAAATAGAAAGTGATTCATCAGATTCAGAATGCGAAATACAATAATACAATGTTAACTAAAATATAAAAAAGACGAATGAAGAGCTAAAGAATAAAAATTAAAAACCAGAACCATAAATTAGTAATGAATCAAAATGTTGTATAATATTCTGATAACATTTTTCTTATAATATTTGTGTCTATTTTAATGTAAAGAAATTAGTCAAATATTAAAATCTTATTACTCTTGTCATTCATCAAATAAAGCAGAACAATTAAAACATGATTGACTTCAAGTCAATCGTATAATTACCCCTTAATGATGTATTGATATGCAAAACTGCTCCAAAATCATCAAAGTTAGATTTCCCTTATATAAAGTTAATTAAATGCGTTATTAAAATTTTAGTCATAAAACTTAATGAATACAAGGCTTTAAACATGCTAGATCATTAGAAAATTATATGTTAATTACAAAAATACTGTTTTATAAAAATTTACTGCTGAAAACGAATGAAAAAAAAAAGATTTTATTACTCAGATATAACTACATAAATGAATAAATATATTATGCAAATCATCTTTTTTCAACAATAAATCCTAGGAATTAAAAAAATTGTTCTCTTTCTTTGTTGACTAAGTTATAATAAATGCATTTTCTTAAGAGAAATATTTAAATTACTAAGATTTTTGTGAATCAAAATTGTATAGTAGTTTTACACTTCTAAGTTCATCAAAATTAATATCTACAAAAAAATTATGCTATTTAAGTTGAGTTCTAGATTATCTTTAATAAGGTTAAGTACATATTATCAAAATTATAATTACAGCAATCTCTAACAATCTTTTTATTAAAGATCTGACTGTTTCATCAAATAATAAGATAATTAGACTTATTTATTTATTCTAACTTGAAACATTTATATTTTATTGGTTGAATAGAAGTCTTACCTGTCAGCTATCATAAATAGTTATTTAGAAATTTATTTAAGATAAAAAAATTTTGTTGGCGATATGATGCAACTTATTTAATAATATCATTATATACTAAGCTCTAGTAATCGACTTCAAATGAGGATCCTATGTTTAATGTGATGATTTCAAATCCATACATGCTTTTTTTAAACTCATCATTTTTTTATCAATGTTACTTAATCCAAAAATCTGTTAAAACAACATAGTCTTTTTTTTCAAGGAGAATGTTTTCTGGTTTTAGATCTCTATATATGATATTCTATTAAGAAAATCATCTAAGGCAAAGAATATTTAGGCTGATTAAACATCCAAACTTCAAGAGATGATCTGCTTTTCTTAAGATGAAAGAATAATTCTCCTAACTTCACAAAATTGGCAATCAAGTACAAATATTTATCATCCTAAATTGTATATATTATTCGACAAGGATTACCTTTATATTATTATAGAATTGTCTTTTGGATTCAATGTGAATTTTACTAATTTACTTTTGAATACTTGATTTGTCAATCTCTTTCATATCAAATGATTTGGATTAATATTCAACTAAGAAGACTGAACCATATGTTCCTTGGCCTAGTTTTTTGATTTTCTTAAAATTATTAATACTTATTTTAGATTTATTGGGTTGCATGGTTTTGGATAGAGCTTTTGTAGATTTTTGAGTTTAGTCTTTATTTCTAATTTGCCTTTAATTTGCCATTAATTATTATAATCATTAACTCGTCATTTATAAAATTTTTATTGAGTTTGAATAATCTATATAATTGTTAGGATATTTAAAGAATTTAAAGGTTATTTTAAATTAATATTATCATTAAGTAAATGACGTATTCAATAATAGCACTTTGCATTTTATTGACAGCTGTCTATGGAAGTGTAGAAGAGAGAGTTGAGAGATTGATGGGTTTATAATAGAATTATTAACACTCTCAGTCTGAAAGTTTCTTCTATTACACTCAAGTAGCTAAATGCAGTTTGAGAGTATAATTTTAGATTAATCATCATAGAGTATTTCAAATTGGAATTGTGGTTCATTTTGTGAGCATCATCCTGATATGATTGAAGTGAAGGCCTTTTATAAATCAGATCACCATGCCTAAGCTTATGTTGGATACAATAAAAAGGAGAATTTGGTCGTTGTTGTTTATAGAAGTATCAAATAATCTTATTTTATCAATTAAGGTACCTAAGACTTTATTAATTGGTATAACAATATCAAGTTCTTTAAGCATGATTTTGGGGATTGCAAAAATTGTAAAGTTCATTTAGGATTTTGGGAAACTTATGATGATGTATCAGCAGAAGTGTTGTCTGCAGCAAAACATTTGAAAGAGAAATATCCAAGTTCAAAACTATTAGTTACAGGACATTCTTTAGGTGGAGCAGTGGCTTATTTGGCTGCAGTTGATTTAAAGAAATTAGGATTCAATGTTGATTATTTTTTCAGTTATGGAGCACCTCGTATTGGAAGTCATGAATTTTCTGTTTGGTTTACTAGTTATGTAGCAGCAACAGAACATTGGAGAGTGACACACTATAGAGATATGGTAATTCATTAACCACCTTCTTCATTTTCATATAAACATCCTCCTTAAGAAGTTTGGTATGCTCATGACAACAAATCATATAAGGTAATTGGTATTTGAATGAATTATAGATCTGCTCTAGTGGAATAGATGAGGATCCAACTTGTGCAAATTCAATTATTGGTGATTCTGCTGCTGATCATACAAGCTATTTTAATGTAAGTGGTTCATGCATAGAAGAATTTACAGAGGAAATTGAAATTTGATTAAATATTAATAATTTGTATGGCAGATAAAAAAAAATAATTGTAATAAGAAGAACTTGAACCTCTTGCTTAATAGGAAAGTTTACAGTTTAAACCAGGAGAGTATTTGGTGCATATTTTGTTGTAGTAAACAAGAGCATTGTAAAATCCAAATGACAATGAAAGTACTATAGATCCATTAATTCAAATTGAGACAATGGATTAAAAGAAATTTAGTTCATAAAAGAAGGGAACTGGATCAAATAGCACTCTAGTTTGGAATGAGCATTTTTATTTCAAAAGATCATTTTCTAATGGTTGGTAAATATAATCATAACATGTGAAAATTTCAGTATTAGATCATAAAGTGTTTGGAAGAAATGCAATTGTAGGAATATATGAATTGGATTTCTCAACAATATATATGACAGATAATCATGTATTATTACATAAATGGTTGGTAAGAATTATCTATTGATTTTTTTAGGGTTTGATAAATCCAGAGAAAGACTTTAATAAAATAACTGGATATTTGAAAATCAGTATAAATATAGTTCATGATGCAGATAAATAAACAACTTTAGTGATGGACAATGAAATAAAAGAGAGAGGTAAAATAGAAGAAGCAAAAAATAATCTCTTTGCAGAAGGTGAATTATTATTGCCACCTCATATTCAAACAAAAGGATAATAATTGAAGATTACTTTAGGGAGAGCAACGAATTTAATGAAAATGGATTCAATGTTAGGATCTATTGATCCATATTTACTTTTTGAGATTGGAGGTTAAGAAATTCAAACTGATTTAATAAAAAATAATAACGCTCCAAATTGGGAGTTAAATTTATTTGTAAATATACTTAAATATAAATAATTAGTTACCAGTTATGACTCCATGTTAAAGTGAATACATAATAATGAGATTATTTGATTATGATATGGGTGGGAAGGATGAAATAGCAGGTAGTCAGTTATTTAGAATTCCAGATATTTTAAGTGGATAAGTATTTTACTGATTTATTTTTAGTTATCATAACCTAAATGGTTTCATATTTATGGAGCACATATTGATGCAGATTCAGAATAGAGAGTTTATTTATGTAGTCATCCTGATTTAGGAACATGTTATGCAGGTAGAATATTATTATCTATGGAATTGATCGACTCTGAATAACCTAAAAAAGATAAACAAAAAATAGCTGATTAGAAAACACTATAAAAAATACGTGAAGATCTTTCTTATTAATGGTCATTCTAATGTATAGTCTATTTTGCACTCAATCTACCAGTAGATGATGATTCATACTCTATTAAAATCAAATGGGGTGAGAATGAATGTAAAACTAGCTCTGAAAAAGCTAAGAATGGAGTTGTTGAGTATTACAAATATTTAACAATTGAAAATGTTAAGTTTCCCACTAAAGAAATTTCAGAATTGCCAGATGTTTTTATTTATTTGATGGATGGAGATAAACCTATTTGTTTTAAAAGATACAAATCTTATAATCTCAACCCAAATGAAAAATATCCAGATGGACATCATTTTACTGTTACACTCATTCCAGATAAATCACTTAAAAATACTCCTATGGATCATCCAGGAATTGTTAAAATTAAGTTATTAATCTAACCAACAGGAGGATTAATCAAAATGTAACCTGTTACAAAACCATAAAGAGATGCCAATAGCTTTCTTTATGTGAATTTATTTTAAGCTCATGATCTAGCACCAACTGATATGGATGGTTTGGCTGATCCTATTGTTGATGTCCTTTTTTATGATTAAAAATAAACTACTGTTCTTATTAATGATACTACTGCTCCAATTTGGAATACTCAATTAAGGATGCCTGTCTATAAATTCGAAAATGAATCTTTCCCTCCTATTATATTGAAAATATTTGATCAAGACAAGGTTAGTAGGGATTTCATGGGACAATTAACTATAGATTATCAAAAAGGATTGAAATAAGGATTCATCACTAAAAATTAAGCTCACATCACCAAACCATAATGGATAGATGTTTATTTATATGGAAGTAAAGCAGGACAAGTCTTACTATCATGTAATTATATTGACAATATTTCTGTTAAAATCCCAAATCAAATCAGTCCTCATAGAATTAAACATTTTATCAAAATTAAATTACTTGGCTTAAGAAATCTTAAATCATTTGGACCTCTACCTGTCACAAAAGCATTTGCTAAATTCAATGTACAATCTATTAGAGCCAAAGATGAACCATTATCTTTAAATAATGCTAATGAAATTATTACTTAACCTAAGGAGGCTGGTCCTAATCCTAATATTAGTTCCATCATTTGTTTAGAGATTAATCTACCTGAGGATGATGCTTTCATGCCAAAATTTATTGGAAGTGTTCATGATTATATTCTTAAAGGAATTTTGTAACCATTAATAGGCTAATTCTCTATTGATCTAAAACTATAAAAACTAAAGACTTTGAAATAAATTGAAGAAAAAAAAGATATAGCCAAAAGAGTTCTTAATGGAACGATTTAGGTAGATTCTAATATAATTCATTTACCAAGTCTGGATTTAGGAGTTGGAATTAAAATGGGAGCGTTATTATCAATGGCATCAGGAGAATAATTTAATGAAGATATCTCTAATTTGTTAACTTAATTAGGAGTACTTAAAAATAATGCTATTTATATGGATCAAATTATCAAATATATAGAATATGATAAGAATGAAGAGGAAGGAACATTTATTGAAGTAGATCGACCTGATAGCAAATACTATTTACCCTTAGGTTATGATACCTAAATCTAAAAGGCTTAGTTATATTTATAGAGAAAAAAATTAGGAGGTTAACAAATACAAAATAAATCATTAAATTAAGTAGAAATTTAGATAAAGTCTTCTCAGTAAGGTTAATAAGGATTGATTAAATCAAATGTTCATTATCGTTTATGTTTGCCTTGTCCACTAGAAGACACTTTATTTATGCAACAGAAGGTTTTTGATATATTCCCATTAAGAAAAGGGAGTATAAATTTGAGAGAAGTGGAAAGTATGGCTGAGATAATTTTGGGAGTAAAAGAGAATCAATTAAATACTGGGAAATTGAAAGGTTGGGTAGAAGTATTATCACAGTAGGATTTAGATAAGTTATAATCTTAAGCTGAGTTTAAGTTAATTAAAAATGAGTATGATTTTACATCTGGTAAGAGTGATACAAACTTAACTGATAAGGAATTAGTAGTAAAAAATTAGGTAACGATTAGATTGTATATAATCGATTGTTCAAATTTACCTCCAAAAGATTAAGATTCTATGTCTGATCCTTATTTGAAAATACGATTGGGGAAAGAATCTATAGATGATGTAGCAAATAGAGTAATTGATAATTGCAATCCTCAGTACTATAAAAGATATGACATCACAACAGAATTACCAGGAGCATCAGAATTAATAATTCAAGTGTGGGACTATGATGATTTTATACCTGATGATTTGATAGGATAAACGATAATTGATGTTGAGGAAAGATATTTTTAATCAAGATTTAGATAGTTAAAACAAATACCTATAGAGACTCGTTAATTGATACATCCAAGTTCTTCAATGCCATAAGGATAAATTCGTTTATTTTTAGAAATAATACCTTCTAAATAAACATCGATTCTTAAGAATCCATGGTTTATTGAATAGAGACCAAAAGCTAAACATTTGATTAGATGTGTGGTTTGGGATGTGTTAGATGTACCATCACATGATGATGAAGGATCTTCAGATTTGTATGTTGTTGGATTTGTAGATTAAGATTAGAAGTAAAAAACAGACACTCATTTTCGAAGTTTTAATGGTAAAGGTTCATTTAATTGGAGAATGGTATTTCCTATTGAATTACCTTAATAATAATAAACGATTCTTACATTTTAAATTTTTGATAAGGATATTTTTACTTCAGATGATTTTATTTCTGATTGTTCAATAGATATAACAGATTTATGTAGAAGGGCTTTTGAAAATGAAATTAATGTAAAAATGTACTCAAAAACAGAACCCCCTACTGATGGTATTCTTAAGTAGGATGCATTAACAAAGTAAACAAATAATGGGATATTATATGAAAAGAATGTGATTTAGACAATAAATAGTGAAAAGGCTGGATATAAGAGTAATCAATAGAATGGAAAACTAGTGGTTTCAATTGAGATAGTGTAGGAATAGTTTCATAATAAGAATCCAGTAGGTTTAGGAAGATCATAACCTAATCATTCTCCAGTTTGTCCTGAACCAACAGGAAGAATAGAATGGACTTGGAATCCATTTAAAATGCTAGTAATAATATCATTTATTCGATTAGAGTTAATTATTGGGACCTAAAGCAATAAGATACTTATTATTAGCCATCTGTATAATGTTTGCTGGATACATGTTAGTTATGCTATTTCCAATCATAACTGGTAATTTAGTGACTAGAATATTTACAGGTTGAAATTATATTAAAATAAATCATATTTTTCAAATAGATAAAATAATAATCAGATTCAATAATATGAAATATCCGTATTGTTCATCAATATCTATGTCTATACTAATGTCAGGAATGATTTCAACTCCTTGTTCACATAGTTTCATATATGGATTCCAATGACATTCATATATTAAAGCTTCACATTAATCTTATCTTATATTTTGAACACACATCTTTCTGCAAACACTATCTTACTGGCTCCAATAACATCTCTTAGAGTCCGAACATAATTGTTCATCATTGAAAGAAGCACAAGAAATCGATTGACATTTACCATTAATAAAAGTGCAAGCATTATTTGAATTATTGCAGATACACATATCAGTAATTTCTTCACACATTTTACATTTAATCAAATCAACTGAAACACATGTTTTCCCATTGATTTCATTACCATTACAAATTGTATAAGCAGGTCCATACAATTCACATTAAGAATTAGTACACACTTTGGTTTCATCTAATATTCTATACTCCTCCCAACTACATTATTTATTATCAATGACAACCATTCTACATATTGAAGGATCACTGATTTAATTACAACTCTCAACTTCAACACAATGACCATCAAGAAAAGCGCAACCTTAATTTTAAAAGCAATCAGCTTCCTAAAGATCTTAACAACTTAATGGTCTACAGATTCCTTGATCAATTATACATGAGTTCATAGAACAATCACTATTAATACATAATTCTTCTAGATTAGTAGCACTAACACAATAGTTATTTATACTAATGCAAACACTACCTGAGAAATTGAATTGATTGCAAGTCTACTATTATGATAAATAAACAATATCCTCACATTGTTTAGCTCCTTAACATTCATTGTCTTAATTAATATAACATGTCTCATTATTTACTGTTCCTTGACACTAACTAATATTATAATCTGAACATCTCTTTTTATTACATTATCCTTAAGTGTAATGACAAGTATTAGAATTTTGAATGCAGGAATCTTTTGTCAATGAATAACAAACATCTTTAACTGCTATTTGATTACATTGACATTTCTTATCATCATTATTCCAAACACAATTGCTCAGAATTGAACATGAATTTATGTTTACACCAATTGAACTACAAGATAGGAAATTTAGAATTGAATAACAAGAATGAGTTGTGACATCATAAGCACAAGTATCTGTCTCTAAAATTTAGCAAACTTTACTATTAACTTCTTGAAGTTGATAACATTTATAATTTCCATTCACAAACTTTTAGCATCTATTATTAATATATTAACATGCTTCATTTTCCAATTAAAGACAAGCACTCTTATTCAAACCTGGTGTCTCACATTTGCTTTGTCTATTAAATTTATTTGTACAGACTTGTTTAAATGAATTATATGAACAAGGCATATTTAAATGATCTATTTAACTGCAAGCCAAATTATTCATTATAGTCTTTGAATCACATTAATTTATATGATTCATTGCTATAAATTATTTGCATTATAATCCATCCCAAAAACAGGCTTCTGTAGATATTGCAGCGCAACCTTTCTAAGATAATCCTAGAGTTAAACAACCATCTGTTTTCTCTATATTCGTACATTAAAATGTTTCTGATTTAAATTTACAAGCTATATGAGTCAATTATTAACAGATTCTATAAGTTATGCTTTAATAATCTGAACATTTTGGTAGTTGTTTTTTAAATGAGTAAAACTAACAAATTTCATCTTGATATATGCAAGGATGATTTAAAATAGAAAGACAAGTTATTTTTGATACACTTACAATGTTACAATCATCCAATTCGTAGTTTGTAGGAATACATGATTTTGTGATCTCATCATATTTTGAGTTTAATGATTAGTCCAATTATTTACAAACATTTTTAGTTACTAATGCTATTTCAAATTTATTTTAATTCCAAGGAACACAAGAATAATCTCGCCAAGAACAAAGCTCACTTTCAATAGCTAAACATGCCTTCATACTTTAAGATTCACAACCCTTATAATCTGAGTTTATGCATTTATCATTAATCCACTTACATGAATCATTCTGATTTTATATACATTCTAAATAATCCTTCATTTCTTAACAAAATCCTGTTAGTCTTATCTATGTGTAATTAGATTAATCAATATTTTCAAAGTTTTAAATGTTTATTCCTGATAATCTATATGTACATGAAAGAGTTGCATCATCAAATGCACAATTACATTCAACACAATCATCAACTCCACTTATTGAAATAGCATTATTTTTACAAGTGAATCTATTTGATCCTTTTGGCAATTCATTACAGGGAAGTTTCTCTGTAAATGGAAGACAACCTTCTTCATCATCCCAAATACAACTCAAATCCATATAATAACATCCAAACTTATTATAAATAGCCCTGCAAGTATAAAAAGTAGAACTCATTCTTGAACATTGTCCATTCTACATTGTACAAACTTCATTTGTAATCTCTTTGCATGCTTTCTTACTTAATCCCTCATAACAAGCTTCATAAATTTAAGCAGCTTCTCTACATTAATTATATCTAAAATCATAATAACAACTTTTTGTTTCTTATTAAATACATCCATTAAATTAATTATCATAAGAACGACAATCTAATTCTAGTTCTAAGTTGAAACAACCTTTATCATCAGTCCATGAACAATATTATCCTGGAGTTTTTATTGCTGTACAAGTTTATTTACTAACATCGTCTTCGCAATTTAAAGTATATAAATTGGCATTCTCACAAAATTCACCATTCCAATAACAATTAAGATAGGATGTTTTATTTATACATTAATCATAATTAAGTCCCATAAATGAGCATTTGTAATATGAATCAGGTTCATTAGTGATAGAAAAGCAGTGTTAGCCATCAGATAAGCAACCATTGGCCTGGCAAACCATTGGTGATACAAACTTAGCTTATAATACATCATCACAAGTATTATTATCTGAATGAACGTAATTTTAACATAGATTATTCTCATAAATGCATTATTTAGTATTACTTTAAAAGCAAGTAAATTTATTACGATTACTACATTCAATGATATCTTAATCAGATTTTACCATGTCCCTACATTAATCTTCATCCCAAACACAGTTAAATGAATCATACTTATTTGTAAATTGCATACAAGCATCAAAGCTAAGGAAACGACAAGATAAAATTTCAGTTTATTCATTAACAACATCGCAAGTGTATGTTTACAAATTAAACATGTAAGCTCCATTAGTTTTATGAGTACATAGTTTAATATTCATGACACTCTATTAAGTAAGATCTTGAACTTTTGAACATTTATACTCATCATCAGGAGTAATACGAATAATATAGCAATCAGCATTTGTAAAAACACAATGTACATGTTTAGAAATAGGATCATCACTATATAAATTTTCAACATCATCACATGATAAATTAGTTTATGAGTAAAGAATTTTACATTATTTATTGTTAGAATCATAAAAACAGCTACTGTCTGGACTGCTATTTAAATTGGCTATTTTACAAGATTCTTAAGTAACTACTTTTTAAACAATAGTTTCACAATTAATATCTTCTGGTAAATCTTCACAAAAATCTTCATCATAATTCCACATGCATCTTAAATAAGGAAATTCTACAACACAAAATACTTCATTTAATTATGAACAAGTGATTGGTTCACCTGTTAAATAGCAAAGACCAACTTAACCATCTTTAGATCCTAAAAATTCACAATTCTCAAATTATTTGCAAGCATTTTCTGAATAAGAAGTATCATAATATTCATCATAAAATTCATAATTAGGACAAGATTCAAAATTAGACCAATATATTTCAGAGCAGTATCCATATGAAAGTTCACAATTAGCAGATTTTTAAAATAGACATGATATTACGTCTAAATCATAACAATTGATTCCAGAATTATTTCTTGTATCTTACTATTTTGATTCATAGAAATCACTTACTCTAAAATTAAGACATTTATAATTAGTTTTATCATAAACACATTCAGGGAATTCTTGACAATAATTATATGATACTTAATTAAATGAATCACAATTATTCATTTTTGGATCAACTTGGAAACATATTCCATTTAAATAAGCACAATATTCATCTTAATTGTAATTTTGCATACAATCATATAAAGATGGAGCATTATTACAAGTATGAATTTTAGGATTAAATCCTTAACATCTATTATTTTACCAAATACATAAATGATTTTGTGTTTGACAAGTACGTTTTGATAAACTACCTTCACAAGGTAGATCCACAATATCATGATTTGTACATAAATCTAAATATGCCCAACATCTATTATCATTTGGACTTGCACAACTCATCCAAGAGAATTAATCATTATAAAATTGTGGACATGCTTGTTATGAATCATAAACAGTAAAACACTTATTATTAATCCATTAACATTTTTACCCACCCATCTTGCATCCTTATTTATTTCTTACTTCACATGCCATAGATAAATTATTAAAATTTATATATTCACAAGTTCTATTATTAAAATAGCATCCACCTTCTGTTTATGTAAGACAGAAAACTTTACTTAATCCTGGATGATCACATTTTAATTTAAATGTTTCATCTAAATTTTAATTACATTTATTTGTAACTACATCAAAATAACAACTATTAGTGGCTAAATAACACATATTTCTATTGTACCATTATCTTTTACCATTTTCTATAATAATAGAATCAGAAGTGTTTAACTCACTCATTTGTTCACAAGTATATGTTTTACTAGATGAATAATATGAACATTTAAGATTTGAATTATTATCAACAACCCAACAAGTTTAACCTTTGGTTGTTATTTTACCACAAAGATTCAAATTAGTTTATGTACAATTTAATGTATTTAATAATACTGTTTTGTAATATCCTTCCTCTACTTAAGTGCATTTATATGTTTAATCATAATAACATTCAGCACTAGTATATGCTACACATCTATGAACATTAATATCTCTATCTGAACCACAACCATCTATACTTTCTCTTGTAGCTGTACATACATTATTTTTTAATTCACAATATGTTCCATCAAGAAAATAATTAACAAATTCACTCTATAAATATTTGCATACCTCCTTATTAGCGGTTGCAAATGTTGTACAAGTTACAGTATATTGTTTAGGATAGAATTTACAAGTACTATCCCAAACACATGCTTATCCGGGAGTGGTTACTTCTTTACAAGCATTTTATGAAAGTTTTGATCCTTCACATTTAATAATATTGAGGATTTCTGGAGTTGTATCTAAACATTTATAGCTTACATAATCATAATAGCAAGAAGCACTTGATTATTCACAACCATCAGGATTCAAATTAGTATTACAAGTTGTCTCTGGACCATAACCAACTGCACAACTAGCATAATCAGGATCGTAAAGACAACTTCCTGCACTTGTAAAATAGGCACAAGTATTTCCATTTACATTTAATAGAGAATTACATTTATATGGCAATATTTATCTATAAATTAGAGTTCTACATTTTCCATAACTCCATTAACAAAATTACCCTTAGGTTGTTATTTTTGTACATTAAGATTTATCTTATCCTCTATCTGAACATTTCAATACATGTCCTTCTTTTTCTTTTGTATAACAATTGAATGTTTTTTCATCATAAAAACAATAATGATCATCATCATATATTGATTGACTACAAACTCTAGGATTAACAAGTTTTTATTAATCACATGGTTTTTTTAACTATACTTCTGCCATATTTAAGCATTTCTAATTATATTAATCCCATCTTGTATATGAACTTAAGAAATTAAGACAAAAGAATTTTGTTATATGCTTAGCTTCAACATTTGTGCAAGGCAAATCTATTTTTAATAAATCTTCCTTATAAGTTTCCAGTGTCTTATCCAAACATTTCATAGTGATTTATTTTGTTTAAAGACACAATTTAGTTTATGGTACATAATAATAATATTCTGATTCCATAGATACACATGTAATTCGATTCATCATAATATCTTGCGGAAGTGATTTGAAATGTGAAAGTAAAGGTTATTTTTTAAGATTAATACATTCATTTTTATACCATATACAATATTGATCTTATCTTGTAATAGCTGTGCAAGTAAAGAGAGTATTTGCATCTTCACAAGATATTAATGCAACATCAATGCTATCTTCGCATCTTGATTTTTCTTCATTCCAATAACATTATAAAGCCATATTAATACAGTATTTTTTACTCAAACCATAAGTTCTACAACCATCATAAGGTAAACAATTAATTATAGGGCTATTTCGATAAATAATGGTTTCACCACTCCAATAACATTATGGATTAGCAATACAACCAGCTTGATTGTCTCTAGATCTACTACAACTTAAATCACAAAAACCTGATGAATTTTAAATATTAAGAAAACAAAATTCACCTTCTAAACATTAATAATAAGTTGCTAAACCAGTTCTATCTATGCAATTAATGTTTGCTTCATATTTAGTTTCATCAAATGGAACACAATCATATTCAGTATTTCCATGAATCATGCATTTGATTTTGTCAACCATTAATCTTTAACAAACATATCCACTCAACTACTAACAAGTAATACTATTTTATTCAATAAAATTATTATCCCTCAATTAACCTTAGGTAACAGTTTAACATTTATTTTCAAGGAATATACTTAGTTAAGGATCAGTTGGATGTTTTGTTAAATATTTACAATATATATGATTTACACCATTGATAGTATCTCTTAAACCAAAAATTTTTAAATAATCACTATCTGATAGTATTTCTAGAGCAATACAACCATATCGAGTTTGATCATTAATTTTCACTAATTTAGATATTAATATTACAATTAGAAGCACTACTAACTTTGCTGACTTTGTACTCATACCATATAAATTTTCCTGTTGAGTCAATATAATTATTTTGTAATGTTTCTGTTGTTGAATATGTTGGAGTTTCTTCAACATATTATCCTTCATCTTCTAAAATTAAGTTATCAGATTCCTCAATCATATCAGGTTAATAATCTACCAAAGGCCATAAAACACTGTGATGCATTATTAAATATCCTATTTTGATGAAATATAATCAAATACCTGTGATTAATGGACAAACTGATATGCTTAATTCTTTATCCATAAAATTACTTTATAAAGTATCATAATCTTTATTGTCCAATTCTTTGCATTTATGATTTTCCCATTTACAATGTTAATTGGTGATTTATAAACATCCAGATCGTGTAATTTTATCACCACACTGCACAGCATCCATATTTTAAATTACATGGCAACTAACATCAAATATACATTATGCCAAGTCACCCAACACTGTACCAATCTGTTTTACACATAATTTTTCACTTAAAGTGTTATCACACCCCATCAAATAATTATCAGATCTAATGCATTCTCCAAACATAGGCATCCATCGGCCTTTATATAGTTTAAATTCTTACATTGATCTACTTTTGTTGATATGCATTTCTTTAAAGTAGTAAATTCTGTGCATAAATCTATGCAATGGATAGAACATAGTATTAGAGCAAATATCAATATATTCATTATATTTGTAAAAATAATATCATTTTTTTATGTACCCGATTCTTAAGTAGGCAAAAACTTCGGATTTATAGTCATTAATACTTTTTATTCATATAAAATAGACATAATATCATTTGGTAAAAAATAAAACCATGCCAAAAGATTTTACCTTATATAATTATATTCAATTGTTTTAATGACCTTTAAATAATATAAATTGATATGTTTTTGGCTTTTACCTTTTTATATTTAGAAAATCGATATTTATTAATTAATATTGTGTTTAGATTTTATATGAATAAAAAATTATTATCTTAAGCATAGGATGAATTTTAAACTGAAACTATTTCATTTAATGTAACTATACCTCTAAAAAATGACAATAGAGAAGATTTAGACAATAATAACACATAATATAGTCAGTTTGTACCTAAAAAAAATAGATAATCTACTTCTATGATTTTTTCTATTTAAGCTCAAGAATAATTTGATTAAGATGAATTAACTAAGCAACCTTATTTTAAAGAAAATAAAACAATAAATAAATTCACAACAAAAAACAAAATTAATCATAACACACCATCATCATTTAAAACAATTTAAATTAATTCAAAATTTTATTCATAAAATAAAACTAAAAAAAGAAGAATTTTATCTGAAAACTCAGCTCCAACAAAACCTTTAATTAAAATTATACATCCATAAGTCATTACCCCAGAAGAATTTAAATATTCAAAAAAATCACTAGAAACACATTCAGACTCATCAGAAATTACTCGTTCAAATTAAAATGAGTCATAAACTTCAAAAATATTAACACTTGAAGATAGACTTCATAGACTTTCATAATAATAAAAATCAACTCTGAATAAAGAATTATAAAAACCAAGTTAACTAGATCTTATAAAAGAGGATCATACAGAAGCAGATGAAGAATAAGAAGCTTATTTTAAACATTAAGAAAAAAAGTAAGATATAAATAAATTTCATCATTTCTTAAAAATTGCTCCACATCCTAAAAGAATAGTCACTTTCAGTTCAGTAATCAAAAAGATTGGAGACATTGAAATTTGTATTGGAATAGAAGGTAAAGAATAAATTACCTATTTCAGAAGAATTAAAAGTGAAAAAGCTAAACTATATAATTATTGCAATATTTAAGTTGAATGAAATAAAATTTAATTGAATTTAAATATTTTATAATTTAATTATTATTTTACATTCTCCTTTTAATTAGAAAAATTTATTTCATTAAACATAACTTAAAGAGTATCTTGAATTTTAAGATTATTATTATATAGGATAAACATATTTTACATTTTATGTGCCTTATCTTATTATTTTACTTGAGTATTAAGTTTATTTTTGGTTCTCTACAAATCTCTTTTTATTATATGAACCAAAACAAATCTCAAATTATTCATCAAATATGTTTTATCTAGCATTAGGACACTTTAAAAATAGATTTATATAAGAAAGGATTATAAATAGCTAATATTTTTATTTATAAATTGTACTTTTTCAATGAAAATTAAGATACAAAGAACTACTGTGTATTAATGAAATGTATCTTCTTAATGATCAAATTTGATCTCATTTTTTAAATCTGGTTTAAAATAAATAAACAACCAAAAGCCATCATAAATAATGGACAAAATGTACATAAATGTCATTATTTTGATATGCAATAAAGATTGCAATTCAAAATTGTTCATATAAAACCACAAACTGTAAAATAAAATTAGAAACTAATCTGATGAATCTGATTAATACATCCAAAAATTATGTTTTTATAAACGATTCTGCTACAGTTGATATTAATAACATAAGAGTTAGTATCAAACTTATTCTCAACCATTAATTTGGAGATAATTCTGTATTTTATTTAGCAATTTCTACAGCATAGTTTTATTATGTTGAATAAATTTCATTTAAAGTTTATTGCTGTTTTTAACTTTACTCTAATTAATTTTATCGATCTTTAAAATTTTATAGTTGAAAAGGTTATAAAATTGCATTAATATCATTGTTATATTCATCAATGTCAAAATTAAGTTCTTGGATTTATTATTAAGTTACTAGAATTTCTTATTCTAGGTATTTTGTCTAATTACTAATTTTTTAATACTTAAGAATGTATCCATTAAACTGAAACCTTAATAATAGCAGATCTAATAGTATTATATTGATCCATAAAAATAAGTTCTTCTTAATGGATTTGTTAATCATAAAACTCTTTCAATTACAATTGTACCTACCCACCTATTTATTTATTTTAAGCTAATTCTTCATCTAATATAGCAAGCCATATCTCTTCTTAGCCAGATTATATAGGAAAAGTAAATGTATCACCCCATTATGGTGAATTTCTATTTACATATTTAGTTTGATAAATAATTTCATCACATCCTATCTTTATAAAAACTAAAGAATTCCCTGAAAACTCAATTATTCCATCTAATATTTAAATTGTTAATGTGCTTTATAAACTTATATTATTATTATTATATCTCTCTTTATTACTTAATTATTTCAATTTAATTGATATTTAATTCAATTCTCTAATTCATATTTGAAATATTACTTTTTTTTTTAGTCCATTAAAGTAGATTATTGAGTAATTTTAGTTCTCAATGTTTAGTAGGCTTAAAGAACAATGTTTTTAAAATCAATTACTGAAACATATCCATTTATTCCTTTAGGCATTCTTGAATATAATTGTTCAAAGATTATTCTGTCATATAATTATATACATTTTTAGTCGAGAAATCTCAACAACTATTCTCTACTTATTAATTCATTGAAATTATTTGTTAATTAATTAAATACATTATCCATGTTTTTCATTATTTCCCCTTGATTCATAAAATTTAACTGTTTTATATTATTAATTTTTTCAAAACAAAATTTATAAACTAACTTGATTAATTTTGAGAGAACATTTAAATAATTTATAAATTTATTCTTACTTTTCTTCTAAATATTTAATTTTAAATATTAAGTTTATGGTTGATGATTTCTCATTTTAAGAAATTCCTAAGACCATTAATTTTTTTATAAAAAAGCCTGAATTATTTACCATCAAAGATGGAATATTTTCTTTACTCATATTGTAAAATTCATGTATCTAGTAGATTTATTTATACCTTATAAATCTTTAGATCATTTTCTATAAAATATTTTTAGAATATATATAAAAAAAGGAATCTGCTGAATTAAAATTATTTATGGAAACATTCTCCATATAGTATATTAAATTATTCTACAGTATTTTATTAAATTCATTGCAACTTTATTATAAGAAGACTATTACATTCTTAAATTTTCTTTTATTAGGATAATTAGCAGTAGTGATGAGAAGAATTTTCAAATAATGACTAAGTCTCATTTAACAAATCATTAATTTTTTAAACATGAATATTCTATAAAATTTCTTATCATAAATAATGTCATCTAATTCTATAACAAAATAATATCAAAATGTTTGAATTATTTATTAATAATTTTGTTGTTAATTGTATTTTAAAAAACCTGGTGAAAAATTCAAAAAAAATTTATTTAATATATTTAATATATATAATATATGTAAATTAAAAATATTGATTTTATGCGTTTATAATGATAATTTAAAATTTCATTCTTTTTTTATTCCCTAAGACTTCAATAAATTTATGTCCACCAGATATAAATGCAAATTCAATATTTCTGATTTATTATATCCTTTATCAAAACAATGCGAGAAACCATCATAACCAGATATGATTGGATTATATAAATATTTATCAATCCCTTAAAAGCGAGGTATGATTTAATTTTAAATTATCCTAATAAAATTAACATTAAGATCTTTTTATAGAATCAAAGAAAGAGCAGAGAAAAATTAACAACCCTCAGAATCGTCATATTATAGGTTTCCGCTATCATATTTTCTAAATTTTTTATCTTTTGCATCATCAAAACTTATTTGTTATGTAGTATAAAACTCAACAAATAACGGCATCAGGATATCTTATTAATTTATCATTCATTAATAGATTTAAAGATATTGATATAATCAATGAAAAATAAAATTATTGTTAAAGTTTAACATTTTTATCATTAAAATATTTCATTTCTTTTTCGTAATCATATTTCAATATCTTTATAACTCTAATTTGGATTATAATCATACGCCCAAGGATTCTTGGATAAAAACTCACTTGCTGCTTATTTCAAATTTATATTAGGATATATAATTTATGGATTAATTGGTTTTCTAATATAATAAGTAAATAAATGCACTTAGTAAAAGGATCTTAATTTAGAGGGTTTATTTTGAATAGTACAGATTTTTCATAAGAATATCCTATTTCTGTTGTATAAGGATCAATAAGTAATTTATTAGTAATATGGCACTATAAATATTCTGGGATTTCTAGTTTAGGTTTTTCATTTGTAATATATTTATCAATTTAAGCTAATGTAATTTATTTTTCATGTTAAGTTAGCTTTACATCATTTTTTACTAAATCTTATAACTATTTAACAATTTCTTAATTTTTTATTTTTTCTTCTTCATACTAAATAAACCACTTCAGTTTTTTAGCTTTATTAATTTTGTCATCTATATCTTTTTCATATTCAGATTTCTTTTAACCAGCACACAAAGTTCTAGCTATAAATAATATGTGAAATTACCTTTTAATATTCTTTAAATACCTGTATCAATTTTAGAGCTCTCTTATTTTTCTTTTGCAAGCATACAGATTGATTAACCTGCAATCATATGACCTTTAATATTCTTCTCATCCAATTCTAAAGCCTCTGTTGCATCATTACAGGCTTCTTAATATCTCTTTAAATTGTAATAACACATAGATCTATTAGAGAAGAATATACTTTCAGTATGATCTTCAGACTATTTTAATAGAATCATTTACAATTGCTTATGTATAGAATTCTATTGCATCTAAATAATTCTAGTTTTGAAATGCTTCATTTCCTTTTATTTTTAACTATTAAGCTTTTGTTTACATATTATTATATTAAATAATCAATTAGACATAAATTCTTCAATCTATTTTTTATGTTCTTCTTATAAATCAAGTATTCTTTTTTTAGCTTAATTTCTTTCTATCGAAAATATTTTTTCCAATCTTAGTTATTCTTACTTATTTTCAATCTAATACAATTATTTTTCTCTTTCCTATTCTAATCTTTGCTCATTTTCCAAAAGCTAATAATAATTTAATTTTATTACATTAATCATCTCTTCTTATTATTATTACTCTAAAAATTCTAACTCATATTATTTTTATGGATCATCATGTATCTTCATTATTTTCTTCTCTTCATTTTAAATCTTTTTATTAATTGCAGACTTTGGTCTTTAAACATCAACTTTCTTTTTTGGTAGTGCAGTTTAAGCTAAATTTATTTAATTTTTTTATTACGTCTTCCTTTTTTTTAATTTGATATAGGATGATCTTCAATTTAATGCTATTCTTATTATTATGATTCATTTTATATAGATTATTAAAGAATTTCTATTTTTCCTTATTTTATTAATTCAAATTAATGTTTTAATTCTTCCTTCTATAAATTTGCTATTTACTTCATTTATAATCTTTACTCTAATACTCTACTCTTTTATAATTATAAATTTTCAGTTCTTCTCATTTTTTCTTCTATTTTTTATCTTAATATTTCTTTTTCATATTCTTATTTTCTTTATAATCTTTCTAATGCTTCTTTTTTATCTTTCATTTTTAATATTTCTTATAATTTTATTTATTCTTAAATTTATTATTTTTCCAATTATTTTTCTAAAATCATTTGTTCTTTAATAATTAATCTATTATTTAATTCTTTAGTTCTAATCATTTAATTTTTTTCAGCATTTTAAATTGCATCTATCCTATGCTATTCTTTTTCTTCTTATTATTATTTTTTTATCAAAAATTCTTAAAATTTTTCTTATTCCATTTATTTTTTTCTTAAATTTACTATTTCTTATTTCTATTAATAATCATAATATTTTTTTTCTTCTTAATTTTAAACTTTTTCAATAACTTATTTCATTTTTTCTTAATGTTACTATGCATTAAGATAATTTTCAATAATTTTTTATTCTTTTAATCTATCATATTCTAATTTTCTCTCTTCTATTTTTCTTTATTTTTCTTCAAATTATTCTCTCATAATTTCTAATTTCTGCATTTAGATTTATTTAGCAGTTTACAATTTGAATTTTAATTCAAGTTAAGCTTATTAAGAAGCTTAAATTTTTTCTTATCTAGATTATTCTTATTTTTCCAGTCTCTCTCTATCTTTCATTTCCATAATTTATTTCTTCTATTATAATTCCATTTCATGTCTTAATTAAATTTCCTACATTTATTCTTTAAATATCTATTATCTCTATTTTCTTTCCTCTTCTCTTCTTTTATACTCTTATTATAATTCTTTTTATCTTAATTATTCTAATTGAACTCTTTGTAATTCTTTTTTATATTGTTATTTAGCTTTTTTTTTTAACTTTTATTCTTCCCGTTATTATTTAATTTATCTGTCTCTCTCTCTTTATACTCTATCATACTCTTATTTAACTCTACTTTATTTCAATTAATCCTCTCTTCTCTATTATCTTTCTTAAATCTATCTTTATTTCGACTCATTTCTTTCACGTATCTCTTATTACTTTTTTTCATGTTCAAGCATCTATTAAATCTCTTTTTATTGTCTCCATTAAATTTTTTCTAATTCTTGTTAATTTTAACTTGCTTATAATTAATCTGAATTTTCAACGATCTATTCTTCATCTTCTTAATTATTGAAATTAAATCCTGCATCAATTAATTATTATCTTGCCTCTAGACACGCTTATAGTTTCTCTTATCTTCTTATTTCATGATGTTACCACATAATCTCCCATCCTTACTTATTCAATCTCAATTCAGGATTTCTCTTTTTTAGTTCCTTTATACCAATTTAAATTAGTTCCTCTGGCAAAATTCCACATAAACGACAAGCCTCTATAGACCGTGGACTTTGACTATTTAGGCAAATTACCTATTGATTATTGGTTATTTGAATTATGTTTAATTAAAGTTCTCCAAACTTAACATTAAAAATTATTGATAAAAATAATTACTTTTATATTTCCTTTTTAAACTCAAAAAATACTAATTATTCTTAAACTACTATCTTAATTAAAAAAATTATTTTTATAATCTTATCTATTTCACATTTCAAACAAGTTTCATTTTCAATTTATACTCTATATAAAAATAAAAAATAATAATAAAAATTTAATTCAATTTGGAATCAAGTCTCGAAAATTTTTAATAATTTATTAAAAAGTCTAATTTATAAATTACATCCATTAGGGTTTCTCCTATTCAAGTGCTAAGATTAAATCGGTTGTAATTAATCCTTTCACTATTGCATTTTCTTCACCTTTATTATCTAATTGATTATTAATTACAATCTATGCCTTAATGACTAGATTTTGTTATTAAGTTGTTTTTAATGTCTTTTACACAATATTCCCATTAGGATTTTTTATCTTTTTCAACTCAGAAAAAAACTAAATAATCTTTTATTGAAGTAAAGTCGCAACAACACATACATAAAAATGACATTCATTTAAATGAAATGAATTTGTTTTAATTTTCTATTTTGTATTGCTTTTATCTTCTTAAAGCTTATTTAAAATTTCAAATAAATTTGGAATCAATTTAATAAAAAAATAATATTCTAATGCTATTAAAACTAATTAATCTTAAGGTATCTTAAGGCAATCATCATTATAAAAATTACATCTTTAACCAACAAATTTAGAAATTGGAATAGCTGTTTTCTAATACAAACTTATATTAAGTAAACTATTTATAAGATCTAATATTGTATTCTATCTAGTATACAATTCTATATTTTTTAAAAGTAAAGTAGTGAATTTAAAAACATGCAATTTTCTTATGTCACTCTAGTATTCCTTCGATTAATTTTGAATTTTTTGAGTTTCATCAATAAATGATTAATCCTTAAAATAATGCATTATTTTCTCTACAACATATTCATAGTATTATTTTTCATGAATTATTGCTTGTCTTTTAGAAAATTTGTCAATTACTTTTTAGTACTCTTTGAAATTTTTATTTATTTAATTTCGTTATTCTAACTGTTTTTTTTGTATCATTCTATATTTTTTTGACAAACAAATTGCAGCAAATACTGCTTAACCAAATATTTTGAATTTTTTTTTCTTTTTTAAAAGGGATTCATTAATTGAATTCAAAGTCTATTTTATCTCTCCATCTTATTCATGTATCTTTTAATTTATCTTCAATTATTTTGGATTTAAAATCTTCATAGTATTTACTTATTTTGATTCAAACTCAATATTTGAATCTCTTAATTCTTCTTAATTTGCATTTATTGTTTTATGGATTTTTTCTGTTCTAGAATAATGTTTTAATTGTGAATTTTTATAATTAACTGGTAATTTACGAAATTTATGAAATTTATCTCCTTCTTCAAATGATCTGTCACTTTAGAAGTTATTATCATATGATACATTTCTTATTCGATATGGCTTTGTTTTTATTTCATAATCTTGTTAATTTTAAATGTAAGTCTATATTGTTTATGTTTATTAATTGAGATCTTCATTCAATACATTTATTAACTCTTTGAGGAGATGTTTATTCTTCTAATCGATCTCAAAAATTTCTTAAAATGATAGAAAATTTTTTTGATTATGTATTTATTATTATATTCTAAATTATGGCCTTTCTGCAGTTAGAAATTTATTTCTTTGAGGTATTTGGGGTAACTTTGGATAGTTTTCTAAGAAAATATTAGAATTTTAGTTAGTTGAAAGTTTCATTGTTAATTAATTAGGTGCGATCCAACTAGCATTAAACATTATTGTAAATAAAATTGATTTGATTTAATTAATAACGCATAATAAAAATTTGATAAATCTTTTGGTGACATATGATTGAAAGAAACCAACAGAAATATATAAGAATGATATTTTTATTTTTAATTGATAATACTTGATCAAATATAATTAAAATGAGATAATTTATATAATCATTAATTAACCTTAAAAAGGCTTTATTTGATTATATCTAATACCTTAATCTATTCAACATATATAAATTCAGGTATTTGAATATTTTATTTACGAATTATTTTTGTATTGATATTACTTTCTTTTTTATTGAAAGTCATTTTTTCTAGAAGCCGACAATTTTAACATTTTTTAGTTTGACTTTGAAGTAATAGCTTCTAAAAATTCAAGAATTTGTTATTTAAATTTTTCAATAAGTTCAATGAATTTATATTTTTGTTAAACATTTTAAACAATTGTTAATTAATATTATTTCCTAATTGCAAAACATGTAAGGATACTTGATTTGTTAACTTAGTTAGTGGTTTACATATTGAATTAATGATAATTAGGCTGATTGTAAATGTTAATGAACTAATTGAAATAACTATTGCAGCAGCTAAGAAATTCCAAAAGATGAATGATTATTCTATATCAAAAAATTATTTTTCCATTATATTAATTGAACTAACATTTGTAAATCTAGAATATCAATTAACTTTACATTATAAGAGTAAAATTCTCTTTTTTGAATTTTTCACTTTGAACATGTACATATTATTAATGATATTTATTAAACAAAATCAAGATTTAAGTAGCTTGATCATTTTTATTTAATCGATGAACAGCATGTTTTTCTATTTGGTACCAGTCTGTTGAATTAAAACCTGTTATAGTTTCATTATAAATGTAAAAAATATCAGTTAAATTTTACCACATTTCCATTCCATTATACAAAACTTATCCAGCATAATTTATTAGCATGATATTGTACAAAACATATTCAAAACTAGGATCATTAATTGTGAGTAAAGTCTTAGCCATTCCAAAGAATTATTTTTCAGAATTAAATAATGAATGTGTTATTGAAAACTAATAGTCATATTGTTCAATGAAAAGTTTATAAACTTCAGAATAAAAATACATTTCATTTGGATGAGCTTTCATTTATTTAATGTNGGGGTAACTTTGGATAGTTTTCTAAGAAAATATTAGAATTTTAGTTAGTTGAAAGTTTCATTGTTAATTAATTAGGTGCGATCCAACTAGCATTAAACATTATTGTAAATAAAATTGATTTGATTTAATTAATAACGCATAATAAAAATTTGATAAATCTTTTGGTGACATATGATTGAAAGAAACCAACAGAAATATATAAGAATGATATTTTTATTTTTAATTGATAATACTTGATCAAATATAATTAAAATGAGATAATTTATATAATCATTAATTAACCTTAAAAAGGCTTTATTTGATTATATCTAATACCTTAATCTATTCAACATATATAAATTCAGGTATTTGAATATTTTATTTACGAATTATTTTTGTATTGATATTACTTTCTTTTTTATTGAAAGTCATTTTTTCTAGAAGCCGACAATTTTAACATTTTTTAGTTTGACTTTGAAGTAATAGCTTCTAAAAATTCAAGAATTTGTTATTTAAATTTTTCAATAAGTTCAATGAATTTATATTTTTGTTAAACATTTTAAACAATTGTTAATTAATATTATTTCCTAATTGCAAAACATGTAAGGATACTTGATTTGTTAACTTAGTTAGTGGTTTACATATTGAATTAATGATAATTAGGCTGATTGTAAATGTTAATGAACTAATTGAAATAACTATTGCAGCAGCTAAGAAATTCCAAAAGATGAATGATTATTCTATATCAAAAAATTATTTTTCCATTATATTAATTGAACTAACATTTGTAAATCTAGAATATCAATTAACTTTACATTATAAGAGTAAAATTCTCTTTTTTGAATTTTTCACTTTGAACATGTACATATTATTAATGATATTTATTAAACAAAATCAAGATTTAAGTAGCTTGATCATTTTTATTTAATCGATGAACAGCATGTTTTTCTATTTGGTACCAGTCTGTTGAATTAAAACCTGTTATAGTTTCATTATAAATGTAAAAAATATCAGTTAAATTTTACCACATTTCCATTCCATTATACAAAACTTATCCAGCATAATTTATTAGCATGATATTGTACAAAACATATTCAAAACTAGGATCATTAATTGTGAGTAAAGTCTTAGCCATTCCAAAGAATTATTTTTCAGAATTAAATAATGAATGTGTTATTGAAAACTAATAGTCATATTGTTCAATGAAAAGTTTATAAACTTCAGAATAAAAATACATTTCATTTGGATGAGCTTTCATTTATTTAATGTGATTTAAATACCTATGTTTTTATATATATGAATACCATGGTCTTGTTCTTGGATCATATCCTTGGATCAGCATTCCAATTGGATAAGTGACATCAAATTTAATTTCTGAAGTGTCCACTACTTAAATAAAGTAAGGAGATTCAATACTAAATAAGAGATTGTATTCATCTAAGAGACTTATGCTATTATATAAAAGGGAAATATTTTAATCATTTAATGGCATTGTTACTTAATCTGAGACTCCATTTAGTTAATAACAAAATTTAGGGGTTTAATAAAAATAATGACTTATTACTTCTAAATCTGAATTTAAACAAGATTCTAAGGGTTTGATTTTTGTAAAGTTATGTTGTATTTATTGGTAAGAAATTAAAAAGGAAGATAGATGTTCTATAACTTAAATCCCTAAGATTAAATTAGAAACTCATTTACTTCTTAAATGTTTTTATTTAATATAATGCGAGACCAATTATGTTGCCTGATTAATTTATTTTATGTCTAAATGATTAATCATCGTTTCAGAGGAACGTGTTGAAATGTAATAAAATATTCTTATTTCCACATATATAGCTGCTCCAGCTAATACCAAAACAAATAACAGAATGAAAATTTCAAATAGGATTATTTAAGACCTCATTCTCAAATTCCTAAAAGCTGAAATTATATAGTTAAACATTTTGAAGTATTAAAATTTTAAGCTTTTTTTTATATTATATATTAAGGAATTAAAATTTATTGATTAGACAAAATTTGATGAATTTAAAATGATATTATATAGTTCGCTAAAAGAAAATTGATCATTTTAATGTAAGCATTTTGTGAATTCTTTTTTATAATCTCATAATTAAATAATATAAAGTTTTTTAATACTTTTATTGTGTAATTATGCATTTGGGTCTTCTTAAATTTAGATTATTTTTATTAATTATTAAATAGGTAAAATAAAAAAATAATTGATAAATTTTTATTGAAATTAAATTTAGTTAATATATTTTTTTTAAATTTATGGATACTATTCTATAATATTGAATTAATTCCATAAATTTTAGTATAAAACAAAATATTTATTGAATCATAGTTTATAAATGTCTTAAATAAACATGTTTATAGCCACGATTTTGATAATTTTGACAATAGTAAATGGTGAAATTGAATTTTCTTTCAAGTAGAAGAATAATTAGTTATTGTACAAGATAATATCAAATGAAGACTTAGTTGTTTTAGCTTTTTCTGGATAAATGGTAATTCGTTAATAAATAAAAAAAGGATTTGAGAGAATATTTATTTTGTAGAATGAAAGACTGTGAATGTGAGGAAAGATATGCTTAAGGAGTTCGAAGTCATCCAAAATTAAGTGAACAGTAATTAGTGTCGAATTATGAATGTGAAAATAATGAAATGATGTTTGTAAGAGTAGATACAGGATATTATCCTTATGTTTGGTAAAACAAATAGGAGAATGCTAAAAGTGTTGATAAATAATAAAGAATAACTTAAGAAATCACATCGAATTTAAGTTATAGTGATAGTGATATGACAGCATCATTATCAGTTGGAAGTATTTTCTAAGTGAAATGGAAGTTTACAACAGATGAATATATAGAAATGTGTTTAATTTTGAATTAGAAATCTTGGATTGGAGTAGGATTTGGAAAAGGAGTATAAAATATATATAATTTAAGATGAGAAATGTTGATATGTTAACAATTAATATCATAGATAATGTAGTAGAGGTTATTGATCTATGGTCAGTAGAAGATGATACTCCTCCTACTGATACTTAATAAGATATAGAATTGATTTCATATAGTGTAGCAGATAATTCTGTAAAAGCTAGAATCAAAAGGAAGTTAAATACAAATGATTCTAAACAAGATGTTGTCTTAGCTAAAGGATCATAATATACTTGGAGTTATGCAACATCATCGGCTTTAGTTATGGAAGATCATGGACATAATTTTAAAGAATTTACTATAACTTTAAATGAAAGTGGAGATACGATAGTGTCATATTCAGAGATACTTATGGTTATTGTTATGATCTTTAATTTAATATTATGAGTATTATAAATCAATCTAAACGTTCCAATTCCTATAATTCCCAATCTTCAAAGTTTCCATTTGGCAAATACCTTCTAATTATAAATGGAATTTTATTTTCATTTAATTCTTATTAAGCTACCATTATTGGATCAGTTGTTTCCTCTATTATGTTATTTATATTTTATACTTGGATCAACATATATTGGACTATTTTTACTTATTTAGAGAGCTCTTGTACCAATTACTCTTGCTCTTTCATATTTTGTTAAAAATGGTGGTGTAATTCTTTCATCTTTATTTACTCTCCTTCCTTTACTTTATGAAATCTAAGCTCCTGTTCTTATTATTTATTAATCTTCATCTGAATCAGATTCTGATGTTACAGAATGTTTATCTTATTTAAAATTAATTTATCAAATACCTTCTGAATCTGTATTTGTTTATTCTAAATCTGATGCATTTGAAGTCATTCCACCTCCAACACCTGAACTACTTTATGATACATCATCAATTTCAGACATCTCTGGTTCTTAATCACTATGATCACTCATTAATTAAAATATTACAATCTAAAATATTCAGAAAATTTTAAATTCAATATTTCCTATCTAATTTTTTTAATACCTTTTTTCTTAAGATAAATAACCATAATTCAATTAACTATTTAATTAGAATCCAAATATGATATATTTTTCATCTTATTTTCTATCTATACATTTACTATTATCTATCATATGATCATATTAACTCAATTAATTATATATCATCTCAAAAATTATGTTTCATTTATATTTTATTCAAATAAAAAGATATTACAATTTAAAGAGAAAATATCATATTTCTTAGACTTTGAATTATTAAAGCAAATCATAGAGGAATTGTTAAAACTCTTTTCGATCTACCTCTACATTATTTGGAATTTAACTTAGACCTATTTTAATTGGTTTAGGGTTTAAACTAATCTATTTTCTATCGTAGAACATTTTCTCTATTAAAATACATTGCTCACATTTTCTTTTTTATCTTATTTAAATCGTATCATAAAGACTCCAAATTTATTCATTTAATTTTGTAAAAAGATTTTAAGACCTTTTCTTAGATTAAAGAATTTTGAAAATCATCTCATTGACATTATTTCCAACAGATAATACATGTGTTGATATTTTTCGATTTATTTCTATTAAAGGTAGACAAATCATATTTATATAACAAATACTTATACTTATAGATAAGGCTCCCAAAAACAAAATTGAAAAAGCTGCAATTAAAATCTAAGATTCAGATTCAAGATAAGCTTTTTCAAATTTATCTTTTAAAATTAACTTTGATGTTATATTAGTAAAGCTAAAATTAAAAACAAAAAATACATTATTAATGTAAAATTTTCTTTCTCAAATTTTTCACTTCTCAAATGTACATAAGATTTATAATATTTATTATATAAAATGAGACATTTAGAGAATTAATTTTGATTCTTTAATTTTAAATTTGAGTGATACATAGAATCATCTTCCATCTATTTCCAATCCGATTCATTAAAACCAGTAATTGTTTCATTATAAACATAAAATGTTTAGCTATTATTAATCTTTTAAGTTTCCATTCCATTGTAAATTACTTATCCAAATTAATTGATCAAAATTATATTAGATTTAACATTTTAAAGATTTTAATCATTTACAGATAACATCACTTTTAAAATGCCAAAAAAGTTTTTGTTTTAATTAAATAAAGATTAAGTAATAGAGAAGTAATAATTATAATCTCCAGTTATCATCTTGTAAACATCTGTAAAGAAATATTATTAGCTTGGGTCAGATTAAACTTTTTTGATATGGTCAACATACCTTAAGATTCAAATAAAAATAATACCAAGGTCGATTATGAAGGTCATAGTTTGGAACTTAATAACCAAAGGGATATAAACTATTAAAACTAATATTACTAATATCCACAAATTATATAAAGTCAGGATAAAATAAGTTGAATTCCAAACCAAAATTTTCTAACAACCTAAGACCATTATAAAGTTAGTATATATCTGAACTCTGTTGTAAGGCATCATCTAATTTAATATTTCCATAAATTAAATAACACATTTTTTGTTTTTATTCTATATAAATATCATCTAAGTATTCATCTAAAGTAAGACAACGGTCAACTTGGTTAGTAAATTTTATTTCTTTTTAGATTTTTGTATAATGGAACAAGAAAGATGAGATATGATCAACTAATTAAATACCTAGATATTTTTTATATATTTTTGAATACTCAAATTATGTTTCTCTTTGATATAGTGTTTCATCAGATGAGTAGTTAGCGTAATCTACTTAATGTCTTAGATTTCTAAAGTATTCTCTAAAGATCGTTGAGAAATATAATAAAATATCTTGATTTCAATATAAATGGCTGCTCCAGCTATTCCAAATACTATAAAGAGAATAAATAGATAAATAGAAATGATCTAGGATCTCATTTTTAGATTTCTGAAAGCTTAAATTATCTAGCGGGTCATATTTATTAATTTAGAAGCTAAATAAATTATTGCTTTAAACATCCTATTTTTAGTAATTAGTAATTCAAATGGCTTTTTTTACGATAATTTTTTGTAATATCAACATAATTGTAAATATAGATTAGATTATATAATTTGTTATAAAGGTGTGATAAATTTTAGAGATTTAATTGAAAAGTGATTTTGACAAAGTTAGTAAGATAAGAAATGATAATATGAATAAGGTTGTTATTTTTGAAAGAAAAGAAGATTAAATAGGATTAATAATTAAAAATAAGATAAAATATAAAAAGTACATTGAATATATATATATAGATAAATTTAAATAAATGTTAATTTATATATTAGTAACATATGTAGTATGGGGATTATAGAGTTACACAGATTGTGCGAGTGACTAATACTATAATAGTGCTTTAGGAGAATGTGCTTAATGTCCTTTGAATACTGTACGATTCAATGTATCATTAGTAAGATATTGATTTGAATTAATTAGTGTGTATGTGATAATACTAAAGGGTTTTAAAGGGTAGATGATAAGGTGATAGGATTTTAATACGAATAGTTATGTTAGAAATAAGCAAATAATTGTACTTAAGGTTAGGTGAATTTGAAATATTCATTTTAAGGAGATACATTATCCTAGAGTACATGTACTTCTTGTGCAACAAATGCATTTGCAAACCCGTATTAATAAATATTAATAAATGAAGTTATCGAGAGCAATGTATTGCATGTCCAGACAAATTAATGAATTATACAGGAAGTTGTGAATGTCCATAATCTGGTTATATAAAATCATATGATCGATGTATATAAACAAATCAAAAGAGTATTGGAGATTTGATCTTTGACTCGTCATATATAGTAGAATATGAGAGTGATCAACAGATAGCAAGTTCATATATGTTAAATAGATATTAATATGCATTAACAATGTGTTATTATTATTCAAGCATGAACGCATGTTAATTATTAACTAACTTGTGTGTATTACAAATGTATGATCTTACAAAACCAATATGCTCAATATTTTTAAAAGAATTGTCTTCTAAGATTCCAAGTTCAGCACCAGCATTATTTCCAAGTGTGAATATGGAAACTATCAATATCTATTAGACATCGTTACCATAAACTATGAAATTAGATGATTCAGATTCTAAGAATAGACGATATTTAAATTATACAATTCAGAAATATGATTTAGAGGGTAATTTTATTAGTGATACTACATTGAGATCAGAATTTATTTAATGTCCTCATTCTCCATAAGATGAAATTAATAGTAGAGCTTTTGGATTAAACATGAAAATAACATGTTCATTAGATTTAGATGCTTTTTTATAAAATTATAAAATGTATATGTATGAACTATAAGTCACTGCAGTTAGAGACGATAATACAGTCATTCCTTAAAATATTTACTTTTTAGTAAAGAATTTAAAAAATTAAGATGGAAATTAACCTAATTCTGATTCTGCTACATAAAATAGTATATTTGTTAAAAGAATCTTTCTTGTAGATCATATAACTTCTAAAAAAGATTATACTAATTTAGCTGAAACACCTGAATATATTAGATATGCTAGCAAAATTAAAATAGTGATACTTCCTAGTTAAGATTCTTATGAATAAATTTATGTTCCTTATGTTTATGTTGAATATAATACAATCAGAAATTCAGGAGAAACTTTTGGATATGCTGATTTCGAATTTGCAGTTTAAATTTCACCTAATCCTACTAATTATTGGATTACTATAATCATATTGTTTACTATTTACAATGTTATTATTTTTATTGTATGGCTATTTCGTGTCTATGTTTGGACTAAAGCAAATCCTAGTAATTCTATTAGAGATAGTTACACATGGTAATTAATTAAAAATATGATTTAATTACTTATTGACTCATGGACTGATTGGATGTTTTACTTCCTTTTTTTTATGACTGCATATTGGTTTGTCTTTTTTAAATTTTAAAATACACCCTTTCTCTTAATGTTAGATCAAAATGATCCAGCCAATTATTTACCTTTTTATGGCTTATTTTATACTATATTTGCATTACGTCTCATATATACTTTTATTATCATTTATGTCTAATCTTCTATTAATATCTATTTTATTGATTGGGAAACTACTGAAATTCATAGACCTGTTGAAAAAAGGAGATAAGAAGAACTTGAAGAAAACGAAGTACTTTTAACAGCTAGTAAAATTAAAAGCAAAGTTTCTGTTTGGAGAACTCTTTTAGTTGCTAATGAATTTAATGAATTATCAACTGTTAGAACTGTGTCTGTTGAATGGACTCTTATTATATTGGGATTCTTTCTAATTGGATTAAGATTCTAAAAAAGATTTATTGAATCTCCAGATCTTATTGAAACATAATCTTTTGTACCTGAAAATCCTATACTTAAATATTTTTTAGTTCAATTTGTCTATCTTATCATTGGATTAGCATAACTTATATTAAGAAGAATACTCAATATCTGGTAACCATATCCATATGAAAATTTTGTTGATCTTTGTACAATTGCTAATGTCTCCATTTTTATTCTTGATGATAATTTACATGGCTATTATATACATGGTGAAAATCCACTTGGATTCTCTGAAGGAGGTATTCCTCATCTTTAAGAATGTCTCAGAAATGAATCCAAAAATAAAGGTAAAAATAGAGGACTTGTTAAAGATGGGTATGATAGTTAATTATGTACTTATGAATTATTTGTACCTCCAGAATTTAAACATTAATTTGAAATGAATTATTAAGGTATTAGAAATTATAAAGAAAAAAGGGAAATGAAATAATTAGGCATAGAAAATGTAGAATTATAGAAATTTAAAATTGAATAATTTCTCAAAGCTAAAATTAATGAAGTTAAAAAACTTGATAAAAGAGCCAATTTCATTAGAACCAAAGAAACTGCTTAAAGATACTTTGATTATCCACCTGATGAATTAGCCTATGATGATTTCAATAAATAATTAGTTCCTTATTTCTATAAGGATCCTGATTTCTAATACAGGAGAGTATTCTTTAGTGGTTATGAAATGTACTTTCTAGTTACAGATATTATCATCTTCACTTTCTTTGTTTTACTCACTTAAAATGTGGCCTTATCAATTTTACTCTAATATTTCTGTACTAAATTCCTAGAATGGTTGAAATAAGAATGGTAAAAATCTAATATTAGTGAAAAAACCAAAATTGATAAAAGATTTCTAATTTGATATATTTTTTATTTCATAATATTATTATAATCATTATCAATAAATCTAAAATTTAAATCCAAGAATTTTCTAGAATCGGTTGGGAAAGATTAACTTTATTTAACTTTGTTTCATTTTAAATATTACATGGTTAACACGTTTAATTATCTTAATTAAAATAATAGTATTCAAAAGATTATTAATAACAATTTGATTAATTAAATGAAGATAAGTTATCAATAGATATACAATTTTACTAGTTATCTTAATCACAGAATGTTAATAATGTATTATTGTAATTATAAAATGAAGTACATTTATTGATTTTGGAATAAGTTTAACATGTATGTTCTTCACATCGATTTTAATTCCAATGACATACATATTGATTACATAAATTCTGTTGATTGAAATCAGAGCATTACCTAGATTATTAACATGATTAATCCTTAAATATACATTGACTATTTTATAATCCTATAGTACAATCTTCTTGAGTTTAATAGTATTCACATTTTAGAAGAGATTAACAACGTTAATTAATGAATTAACAATGGGTATACAAATTACATGTTTATTGATCATTTAATGAAGTACAATCAATTAATTAACATCCTGAAGAGGTGGCTTAACATTTCCCTTTAAGACTTGTAGCTGCATTGCATTAGTTTATAGAATAACTCTCACAATCTTAAATAATTAAACACCTTAAACCATCAGAAGTACACTTCTTCATTTATTTATTGCATTAAATATGAGTAGATCCAAGAAGATCTTCACATTAAACATCAAAACATTTATCTAAAGTCCAAATACATGTTTATTAAGGAATAAAATTGTTTTTAATAATTGGATAATTACTAAATTTACAATTATCTGGTAACTTATAATATTAACAATATTGTAAATTTGAACATTCTATTTGATTATTGCTTACAGTGCATGAAGGATTAATTGATTAACATTCTTAATGTGTTGTTAATTTATATTATTAACAATCTTATAGATTTGTACATTTGTGATCTACCCAAGCACAGAATTGCTAATTATTATCAATAATACAAGATATTTAATTATTATAATCTTCACAAGTTGTTATAGGTATACAATTAGATCCATTTGAAGTACATTAAGAAAACATAGAATCATAACATTCATAATGTGTTTTAAAAGGTAGTGATTAACAACTAGAAAATTAGAAACATTAATTATTAACATATAAGCAAGGACCATCTTTTCCTAAAATACAAGAAATTTATGATAATTTTGAACATAACTACATTTCAATGCATTTGTTACCGTCTGTAGTACAATTAGATTATTAAGATTAACATTATAGAAAAGTACTACCAAAATAATCATCACAAACTTTATTTTTACAAGCAAAATCTTTCCATATACATTTAAATAATTTACTATCATTACAATATTATTCAATTGTATAATCATAACAATTTAATACTTTTAAACACCCACCACCTGCTTATGGAATACAATCTTATAATGGAAAATAGAATTCACAATCTATTTTTTCTTTAGGAGCTTCATTACATGTAAGATACTCACATAATTATAAATTATCATTCCAACCACATAGTTTATAATTAATATCAATATTACATGCTTATTAATATAATGTATCTATACAAGCAACTCTTGCTATACAATTTATACCATTACTAGTACATTAAATATCATTCTATTTACATTCCTGATCATTATTATATTCATAATCTTCACATAAAATATTTCTACATTAATAAACTGTATTTATACATTATAATGAATATGGAGAACATTATTCATCCTCATTATAATCTTTACATTTCTTTAATTTACAACTTATATCCCAAAAACATTCTTCAGATTTTCTAGTTAAATAACATTAATCTTCTAATTCATATTCTTCACAATTATCTTTCAAATCTATACATCCTGAATTATTATTATTTATTGTACATCTTATACTATTAATTTCTGAAAAACAATTCTCATGAGAGTATTCACTCAATATTAATGTTTCACAATTTTTTAATTAACAATTATCATTTATCCAAATACATTATAATCCATCTTATTACTTTATACAAGAATCTTTATCCAAATATTCAATACAACTTTATCTTAATGATTCACATTTTTATGTACCAAGATTAAAAATGCATTCTCTTACTGGAAAATATTGATGGCAATTAGAAATGGGAATATTCTCGCAGATTAGATCAACACATTGATTTAATTCATTCCAAATACATTTTTATTAATTGATTTTCATTAAGCAGAATTACTATTATTGATATTTAGAACATTCATCAAGTAAAGTATCACATCCACCAACATAAGCAACAGTGCAAGTTGATTTATACTGATTACATTAATCATGATTATAATTCTATTTTAATATATCTCTACATTGTCTTTCTAAACAAGCCATATTTCTCCATATACATCTTTAATCATCAATACATTATAGATCATTTGAATAATCTGAACAATTCTCATATTTATTTGTACAACCAAACAGTTTTTCATCTATTACACATTGAGAATTGACTTAAGAACATTAAATATTTTATGGTGATAAAGCAAGACATTCAAAAATACATTTATTATCTACCCAACGACATTTTCTACCTTTTATATCTTTATTCAGTTAGCAATCTAATTTTTACATATTCGAACAATTCTCTTCCAAATTCTTACATAATTTGTTTTAAGTCCAATAACAATAATCTAACATTTTACATCTCTTTTATGATACATAAAATCTACATAATTTATCATTTGTTTCCATTTTAGTCATACATTTCATTTTATCAATTAAATCTAAAGTGCATGATATTAAATAATCTTCACATATTTCATTGCTTTTAATGTTTTCATTTATATAATCAGTGCATTCTTTAAAATAATTACATTAAATTTATAAATTCTGATCTTGTAGACATAGTTTATTAGAATCAATACATTATTAATAGATCCATTGACATTCTCTTTAATTGATATCACTGAAACATTAATATTCATGTTTAATATCTGAACATTACTTTGGTTTTTCAATGCATCCATCTTAATCGGATGATGCTCTCATACAAATTTTATTATCTAAATAAGATTCACAAATAGCTTTAGATGATTCACCTCTATGATCATTACATTTTCTATATCTACAACTTCCTTAATCAAAAATGCATTTAGCTATTTTACATTATGATTCATCCAATAAATTACAATCATTTGGTAATTCAATACAATTAGATTGATAATAACTAGAAGTGCACGTATTAATGAAATTATTACATTATTAATGATTTTTATAAGAAATTGTCTTAGGTATATGTTAACATTCAATTTGTTAACATTTGTCAATATTCCAAAAGCATTTTTAATAGTTTGAATCAATATTACATGAAATGCTATTAAAATAGGATGAGCAATCTTATTATAATGATATGCATATAATGCCATTAGTTGTACAATCTTTAAAAATAGTATTACAATCTTGATGAGTTGAATGACTAAAATATTCACATCTGAATTCTAAGCATTAATTATTATACCAAGCACATAAACTTAATCTAGATTGATAGCATTAAGATTGTTTATGATAAGAAGAACAAGCATTTTTAATATTCATACAACCAATTCCCCTATCATGTAAAGTACATTCTTTCATATAATTTGCACAATCTTAATGATTTATATGTTATAAATCTCTACTAGCATTTTCACAAGTTTTTAAATCACATTAATTAACCCATTTACATTAAAAATTTAATTGACATTTTTCTTATATATTTAATGCATTACAAGAATTTTCAATACATTCTTAACCATTATATACACATTTACTATCAAATATCTTACACAATTCTTATGTTTAATAATAAATAGATGCCCATTAACATTGTTTCAAAACACATTCATTATCATTCCAAAAACATTCTTCTCTTCTTATATTTTTTTGACACCCAACTAAATTATCAGCTTAATCACATTCTCCATTTTCTTTACATCCTCCACCATCTTTCGTTATGCATTTCTAATCTATTTGTTAACATTATTCATTGTTTCTTCTTTCTAAACTAGCATTTTCACAACTTCTTATATAACATTTCCCATTCTCCCATATACATAATTCATTTTATTTGTTTATTCTACATTAGACTTCATTTTTATATTCCGAACATTCTTATCTATCTATACACTTACCATTTTATTCATATGTGCATCCATTCTCAATACAATCTTTATCGATATACTTACACAAATAATCCATACATTTCAATCCATTCCAATAACATTTTTAAGTACCTAATTTATTACTAATACATTATTTTTATAATTTCTAATCTACACATCTCATTCCAGAATCTATACATCCACCATTTTCTTAATAAGTGCACCAATTCAATTATTCTCTACATTATTAATCGCTATTCAAATTCAAAGGTAATTCAGTACATTCCTTTGGTTTTCGACAGCCTTTCCCATCCCAAAAACAATAACCTTTCTATATAAATTTTTCATAATTCTATCTACAAGAATGTTTTGTTTTATATTATTCACATTTCCCTTTTTCCACACACATCATTCCATCAGTTATACATTTATAAGAATATGATTAACAATCTAAATTAGATTTTTAATTAAAAGCCGTACAACCTGTAAAAGGCATACATTATTTATTTATATAGCCACAACCTTCTATTTTATTGCAATCAATATACACATTTGAACAATATCCTTAAAATTTTTGGAGGCTTATTCGATCCTCACATTTTTTTTCATCTCTTTTCCAATTACAATTTATTTCACAATCATTCTAATTTTTTAGATCTGAACATTAACATTTCTCTTTTACTTCAACTTTCAAACATTATATCTATGATACACTTAATAAATAACTAATAAACAAGAAGAAGATAAAGAACATTAAATAATTAAAAATATATTATATTTATAAAATAATTCTAATTATATACTTTACCTAAAAATTATTGCATTTTTTACCAAAACTTCTATTAATGATGACTATAAAAATAATAATTTATTTGTTGTTTCAAACAAATCAATTTAAATAGTATAAAAATCTAATGTTTTAATTCATTATTTAGTTTTTCTTAAATTAGTTATTAAAGAGTATTAATTTTAATTAATTTCTCTAATTTTATTTAAAGTTTAATATAGTTGTTTTAACTGTTTAAACAGCTATTCAAAATATTTTAATAGATTTTATTTATTATTGAATTATAATATAAACTAATAGTAAAGCATTTTTATAAAAAATTTAAATATGTTTTACTAAATTAATTATATAAATTATTGATCAAATTCTTTATTTCTTTTTGCCATTTTTACTTTAAAAACTACTATTTAAACTTTATGATTAATTTGTTGTCTTTGGAGGATCTTATTAAAATAAACCTTGAAATAATAAATAAATTTTACCACCAGATTACTAATTAAGAGGAGGTTGAAATAATTAAGTAGCCAATTCATTTTGTTACAAAGGCATATTCTAAAAATAAGAAATTGCACTAAGATTTGGAGTTTATGATGATGTCTATGAAAATAATCCATTAGTTCCAAGTTAAGGTTAAAGAAATGATCCAAAAGTATTTTAGGTTTACATTTACTATCCAAATTAGAATTATTAAGGAGGTGCTTAATTCATGTCTGTAATTTCCATTTAATTATTGATAGCATTATTATTTATGATTCTGTTTGTGTTTACACCTAATGAAAATAAAGAATTTTATTATTGGAATTAATTTTATTAGGAATTCTATTAGAAAGAAAAAATTGAAGTTTGGGATTGTTGTGGTTATGGAAGTAAAGTATTAAGTTAAGATAGTGCATTTGATTATTATTTAAATAAACTATTTTAAAATTGAGAAGTCTAAACTTTTGCAGGTTCTTCCTAAGGAATTCTACTCTAACAAGAATTATTTGAAAAATATGAATGTATTTGTTCTTAATCTATTTTTGGAGATTATTATAAAAATGGATTATCTATTTATTTAACAGGAGTGGCTACCTATTTTATTAGTGGATCAGAAGACAAATTTTCAGATTTTGTATTGTCAATTTGTGGTATTTATTTTTATGAAAATGCAAAAGGAGATTGTTTTTATTATTCAACTGGTTTAGGATCACTACTATTGATATTTATTAGATTATTTTTTTTTTAATCATCAGATGATGATTTCCATTAACAATTTAAACCCATAGAATTATGTAATGGTGTTAAAATTTCTTGTTTTTAAGAATTACTTTATTGTTATTTGTTTTCTTAATTTGTAGGAGTGTCAATATTAATTTTATTCTCTACTTTATTATCAATTTTGAATAGTGATGCAAATAATGATGAAGAGTTAGCTGTTTCTTTATCTTCTTTTTCTTGAATTTTATTAATTTGTATACTATTAACATTATTCAAAAAAGGAGGTTAATTATCTACTTTAACTTCTGGTTTTTCTTTTTCAGTTTAATTAAAAAGTGTACCACCAAATAATAAACTACCTGATTATTTTTCTTTGTTATTATTATCATTAGATAATTTATTAAAAAGAGTTGAAAATTAGGGAATAGGTGTTTCTTTATTATTATTTAATTTAATATTATTATTATCTACATTATTTTTGATTTCTGGATTTACAAATGTAATTCCTGCGAATAAACCTACTTATTTTTATTCTTCTGGTTTCTTTTTTACTTCTAAATTTTCCACTACTTAATCTTATTTCTTTTCTTCTTTTTATTCTCCTTGAATGGATTGGGATACATTTATAAAATTTTAAAAAAGTTTCTTAGTTCTAAATTAATCATTTGTATTAAACTAATCATTTTGAATTCCAGTTGTATTATTGAAATTACTATAAATTTAATTGTTTTCTTCAATTTTAGGTTATACATCTAAAGAATCTTTTTTATTATTTACATTTGAACTAGAAGATTCTGAATTCGATGGTTATTATTAAGCTTCTTAATTATTTGGTTTATTTTGAAGAAAAGTAAATTAATTTTATTATAAATTTTAACCAGAACTTTAATCTGAAGATTGTTATTGATTTAAGTCTTTAGAATCATAAGATGCAAAGAGAGATGATTAAACATTTATTTTACTATGTGGTTATTATCCTTAAAGATTTTCACTATTTTTAAAAATTCCAAATAAAGGAGTATCTGATAAATTATTAAAATTTTTTTCATGTTATTCAATAGGTTTTTTATCTTCAATAAGTTCTTTCTATAAATTATTAAATAATGAAGGAATAGTTTAAGGTTTATCTAATTTTGTAGGTCCTTACACTAAGAAATTAATTATAGTTTATTAAGGTTATTTTAATGATTCTATATTTTTATCATCTTATGTTTTTTATTCTTTAAATTGAACATGCTATTCTTTTTACAGTTCAATTTATTTAATTTCATTAGGTTTACTTAAAACATCAGATTATTTTCTAGATTGTGAATTATCTACATTTTTAGGACTACATGAAAATGCTTTTGATTCTTATTCATTTAAATTAATCATGGATTATGACTTCTTTAATCCTTTTGATTGAAATTCTATAATTTCATTAGCATTAAGTATTAATGGTTCTGGTTATTTTGATTTTTCATCTTTTAATTAAACAATAATAATTTCTTTAATTTATGGCTCCTCTTTTAACCCGCCTGCCAAAAGACTATTATTTTTAAGAGAATCATCACTAATTTATTCTGGAACTTCTTATATTCTACTTTCATTTATACTATCTTAAATTTAATCCTAAATATGTTTCTTATGTATAAACTTAATCCCAACAGATTTCTTCTTTTCTAAAATAATTTAAAATTCATACCATCTAATTTTCTCTTTTTATATTATTAAGAACTAAGTTTACGACGTGGTTATATTATCTTATTGTCTTAAATATCAGCCTAATCTATATCTTCTGGTAAAACAGGTTCATAACTTTATTTTTAAGCTAGTTTTTAGAGTTTTTAATATTTACAATTTATCTTTCTCAAGTGTTTTTCTTCTTTTTATTTAACTTTTGATGACTAATCATTTTATTATACTAGTATGTTTTACTATTCTTTTAAATGATCATCAAAGCTCGTAAATTTATTTCTTTTTTATCTACAGCTACTCTAAGAATTGTGAATTTATATAGAATCTAATATGAATATATTCAATTTACCTTATTCTATAGTTTATGCTCCAAATATTTCAGAATTGACAGGAACATATATTGTCTATTAAGATATCAGTTCTCTTTATATACAAGATGATGGATTTAAATTGATTTAAAACATGCTTTTCAATTTGTTGATGATTTTAGTAGTTATACTTGGTTTTTCTTTAGTATATTTACTAAATGGATTGAACCCAACATATGAACTCTATTTTTTGCCTAACATATTATTATTTATTTGTTTTTAATTATTATACATTTTTATAAATAATTTTAACTATCTTACTAAAGTAAAAATAATGAGTTCCTTAAAATTGAAACATTTATTCAATTAAGTATTTGTTATAATAAATAATTTTTATGTAAAAGTAAATTGATGAGGTTGAACTATTATTAAAAAAGAGTCCTTAACATAGAAGTAAAGCTGAAATAGATCTACTCGTTTCATTAACTTCTTAACTTCCCTTTTTTAAATAATATACAAAATTGGAAAATGGAATTTAGATCTAAAGAAAATGTTGTAAAAATATGTATTGCGAAAAATTCAAATCATAAGAAATTGTATTCTATGTAGGTAACTAATAACTCTAAGCTTTCTAGATAGTGTTGGCACAAAATTCTATATCATTTTAGAAGGACAAGTAACTGTTTTAGTAAGGAAACCAAATTAAATTGAAATGGAAGCAGTAAGAATACTCAATAAAGGAGAATCTTTTGGTGAACTGGCACTCTTACATAAACAACCTAGATTAGCAACTATCTAATGTCTTAATGATTGCACTTTTGCAGTCTTAGATAAATAATAATTTAAACATATTCTTTAAGAAGAATAATAAAAATAATTAGATGAAGTATCTATCTATTAATTATGAAGAACATAGATTATTTCTCACAAATTAAAATATTCTCTCATCTCCATAGAACCTAATTGAAACATATTTATTTAAATTCCTTTCTATATGAATTTGAAAAAAATTAAATTGTCATCCAAGAAGGATAAAAAGTTGATTATTTTATCTTAATCAAATCTGGCAGTTTTTTAGTCAAAAAGTTTATTAAATCTAATCATATTAATGCAAATGTAATTTATATACCTAAAATAGCTTTTTGAAATAGGAGAACTCTAAGTATTTGGATTCTATCATCTCAATATCAATCTACCTTATGAATATTCTTTAATTTGTAATACAGCTAAAGGATTTGCTTACAAAATTTAACGTACTTCATTGGTAGAAAGAATGTTTGAATAACAATTTGAAGAGTTAAAATTACATAGAATGGAATTATAATAGTTTGCTGAACTTAGAACATAAACAGATGCTAAAACAGCATTTACTTTTCCATAATTTTATAATTAAAGAATTAAAACAGAAGGAAATATAGAATCTCCAATTTTAAATGAAAAACTAATTGAAACTAATAAAAAAATTCAATAAATTTAATAAATTAAAAAATAGCAGAGAATTAATATAATTAAATAATAACTTGATTTCTTATCTTAAAAATAGAGAAAACATCCTATCAAAGTAATACCTACAAATGTCTCTCAAACTTAATCTGAACTCTTTTTTAAAACAAAAATATGTTATAATTTTATAACATAAAATGATTCTCAAGAATAAGATTATTAATAAATCTAATAAAATTAAACTTAAATAGATAAACCAAAAAGCAAAATTAAAAAACTTACATTAAAAACTCATTTTCCAGAAGATATACAGGAGAAATAATCTTGTAATAGTCCCTTAAGTACTTCTTAATCCTAATTGAGAAGTAATAAAGAAAAGAAAAGAAAGATCTTACCAAATGCATAAAACAGAATTAAATCTAGAACAATTTAATATTAGGCTACCTTTTCTCCTCTCTACAAAATACCTAATAACCGCTTCTAATTTTTATAAAGCAATGCAACAAGTAATAGAGTTTTTTGATTAAATTCTTAATGATATAAATATATGTATAAATGAATTTCTAGTTTTTGCTGAATATTATTTAATGTTTTTATTTGTAATCTAATTTACAGGGAAATTATTTACTTAAAAAATATATTGTCAATTAGTTTACTAGAATCTTGATTGAAGAATTCATAAATTAATTTAAATTTTGATTCAAACTCTTTATTGAAATTAATTATAAAAAATATCACTTTTAGCAATTGAGACATCCATCACATCTACACAAATGTGTACATGCTAGACCATTTAAAAAACATTCACAATATTTCTTTTGGCATCCAGATTTTTTACAATTGCATCCTTTGAAGCATTATTTAAATGCTCCTGGATCTCGATTAATAATTTATACTTTAGCCTCCTTTCTTTATTCAGTATTAAGAGTATTATTGAAACAACCAACACAATTGCAATTTTCTGAACACATTTATCCGTTAGCAAAGCAGTCACAATACTATTTTAGACATTGTGATTTCTTACAATTACATGATCTTTTTATATTGTATAATAATAACTTTGTATTGGTAATAATTTTTTAATTATTTGGAGGAGGAAATATTATTTTAATTGGTCGATAAATATTCTTTTAATCTAACTACATTTATGTTTCCACTGTTTCCTCTTCCATTTCAATTCTATTTTATGGTACTAAAATCCTATATTTGATATTTTTAATACCTAAATGATGAGTCTTTACTAACTTAAAAAGTTTTCATTAGGTTTAAAATTTGAATTATTTATAATTCGTTAAAAATTATTAATATATAATTATGACAATATTACCTATAAATATTTGTGCATATAATTATATCATATATTCATATGTATGAGAAATTTTAATTTTGAAAAGTTCATTTTAATAAGAAGTTCAATATAGATAATATTGATTTCAATTTTATAATAAAAATCTTATGTTCTAAATCTTTAGATTTATATCAAATTTGATTATATTCTTATCTATATTCTAAGTATATATATATTTAAATGATTTAAGAATAAAGTGTTTTACGTAAAATAATATACATTTACTTTATTTATATATAAATTTTAAACTTCAATAATTATGTGATATGACGAATTTGTCACCTACATTGATAAAGTCACAATTGGCATCTTCTTTATTAATGACCAAGCATTTTTAATCTATATTTTAAATAACTCCTTAAACTATCTCAAACTCTTCCCTACCAGCTTTCCAAAGTGCTTTTCCATCTGAAGCAATTATAATTTTTCCTAGATGAATACCAACATTCTCTTTATTACTTAAATTTGTATATTATTTTTATAATAGTATTCCGCTACTGTCATAGCATTCATCATAATAATCCTTTAATTATTTTTATACTTAATCTCCTAATACTTCTTCCACTTATTTTTAAACTTTTCCCATTTCATGAAAAGGTAGTTTATTAGGTAATTAAAGGATACAATTGCCTTAACGTAATGCTTATAAAAAAGTCTTTTCTTCTTTTTGATCTTCTTCTTACATCTCTCCAAGAATAACAGGCCTCATATGTTATTCTTCAGGATCAATTGGAGGAGGAATACTTGGTAGATCAAAAGAAGATGCGGATGAAAGTGATATTGGATCTGGTATTTGATTTGATATTTGATTTGATATTTGATATGGTATTGGATCTGGTATTGGATCTGGTATTGAAATTTATATTGATTTATTAAGAGGTTTAGGTGATGTTTGTTTATAACTTACATTTACTTCAAATTTTTTTGGAGGATCTATATTTGCTATATTTTCTTATTGCATAAGATTTTTGAGAAGTTAAGAGGACCCATATTCTTTCATTTATTTGATTCTTATTAATGTATAAAATTAATTAATTAAATTATTATCAAAAGTTTGAAGCAACAAAAATTGTCTTTTTCTTTATTACAAAGAAACTATATGTTTTATTTTTATAATCATTTTAATATTATCAATTTTAATCATTTAACTATGTTGTCAAAAGAGTAAATATTCTTTATCCATATTCTGATTATCTTAAGTATTATAATAAATTTGAATTCTATTTAATTAGATTTAACAGTTATTGGGTATGTTCAATATCAAAAACTTATAATAACTTTTTTATAACATAATTTCCAAATGGATTTGTTGCTATATTTACAAAAATGAACCTAAAATAGAATATATTGTATTACATTCCATTTTAATCTGAAGGTTTGATTAAAATTTAAACAAAACTATTTTTAAGTTTTGGAGATAAATATTCAAGGATAGCTTCTACAGTATTACTCGCATATTTATTGAAACATAAGGATTCTAAATGATCAAAGATATAATTTGCAATAAGTTCTAGACTTTTTGGCTATTTAATGGCATATTAAATGATATGATTTCCATATTAAGATTTATAGAGGAGATTTTAATACGATATACAGATTTATATCAAATTATCCACTTAAAATGGATAATTATCAATTAACTTTTAGATAATTTTACATCCATATTAAGAATCACACATATTTACACATAAATCTTCACTTGGTTTCAATATAAATTTAACTACATCTATAGGAAAGTTTTCCAAACATTTTAGAATTACATACTTACCATTTTAATCAATGAGCAGAGATTAAACATTTTTTTTAATTTCTTGAATAAATGGACTTATTAAACGATCTTTGTTAGAAATAATATCAATAAGTTTTTAAATAACTCTACATCCAAAATTATTTTTGGATAATTCATTAACATAAGGCAATAATTATTAAAAGATCTAAATTTATTATACTAAACTTCCTAAAAAAAATATTTAAGTATTTTAATACCTTTTTCAAGGATCTTCTAAATTAAATAATTACCAAAAATGTCTTTTGAGAATTCTTAACAATTAGCTTATACTTTATAAAATATTTATTATCTTTAATTGGGTGATCCAGTCTCAAATATTTTTTAAACCTTCCTTGATAGCACTTGATTTCCACACATATTCTCCTATAATATATTAATATTAAAAAAAATTACAATATCAATATCTAATTATAGATCTAAATTTTGACTTGGTTTTTAATATTAAGGCCAAATTTGATTAGTTTAACTGAAAAATATAGGTGAAAATTATTCAGGGGATTTTTAAAAGTAATCAAAACAAACAGAATTTCCAAAAATCATTGAAGTCTCTAAACTTGTCTAATTATCCGAACTAAATGAAGTGCAAACTCCAGGATTTTTATATTAAACTTTTTTATCTGGTGAAATAGGACTGCATATTTGATCTGAACATAAACTTATTTATTCAAAGGATTTGCTAAATGAATCTGTCGTTTAAAACTTATATTAATTTTAGAGTTTTATATAAGTTTGAGTTTAATTGCATTCAGCACTCACATTTAATTTCTTCTAATCGTAAGAGTCATTTTCATCAGTTACTTATATTTAAAAGAGTAATTTACTTGATAAAATCGATCCTAACAAATTTTACTCGGTTTCAAAATCATCATCTGTCATAATTTAATTAAATTAATAAATATAATAAAAGAATTATTTTTAAAATACTAATTTCTTTCTCTTATTCTCATCTATTTGGAATAATAAGTTTTGATTTTATTAGACCTTGTGAAATTATCAGTAGCGACTAAATTAAAAATAAAAATAAAACCTAATCATTTTATATAACTGTAACTAACACATTTATTATTCTTAAATTTCATCTAGAATATATTGATAAAAATTTAATTAAAAATAATTATATTTGAAGATGAATCTAACTCATAGAATATCATAGATCTAAAATTAATTCTGATCTAAATATGTCACAATATATATATAAAGAACCAACATAGAGTATATTTATAATCGATAATTGATTATAGTAAAACTAATATTTTTCATGAATGTTACATATTATTTCTTGTTATAATAAGTTATTTTAGTTTTATAAAATAATGAAAGTGAATATTAGTTATTTTATAATAACTTTGTGCTATGCTACAGAATGGATAAAAGATATTGAAACTTAGCGGCTTTATTTATGCGATAGAGTTGCTGGGTTTTATTATGACAAAAATTAAGATTAGATTTTTAGTTATTTTTCTGAATACGATGAGACTTCAAAATAAGATCTTGTATTGAATCATTTTTTTTATATGATGAATAATTGCATGTAAGAGTTAAGGGAAAGATATCCTGATTCAACAATCGATGATTCCTTAGTTTAATCTATTGATTGGGTTGATTTTATTAAGCCTGAATAATTTATGTTTGATAAACGTGATTTAGGATAGTTAACACTAGATGAAATTGAAATAAAGGGTAGAATGTATACAGAAAAATAACTAGTAATAATTTGAATAAAATTAGATTTTAGAAAATTATGAAAGAAACTAAAATAGTTTTACTAAATTTTTAAGATCCTATAATCTAACTGAAAAGTCAATATCAATATTTGCAATAGTGATAATAATGTCTATATTTTTTTATAATTTCATAAAAGGTAATAAATGAAAATATATTAAAAAAGCAATGAAATTTATTATATAAGAGCATATAAAAGAGGAAGAATAGCGTAAAAACAAGAAGAAAAAGAAAATAAATTGATATATTTCATTTATATATATATAATTTCAGCAATATCTTTAATAATTAGTACACGTAAAAATTTAATAATTCAATATTAATATTACATATTTGAATGTTGTTAAAAATAAAATAACAATTAATTATTATTATATTTAAGAAAGAATATATTTGTGCAATCTTATATTCATGCAAATTGAATAACAATCAATTATGAATAGTGGAATTTATAGTTTATGGTAAGGGATTGATGAAGAGGAGTTTAAAAGAGAGAAAAGAAAATAATAAAAGTAAGCTCATCCATAATTTTCTGAGCTGACTGATAAGTTAAAATAAAGAAAATAAAATTTGAATATTTAGAAAAAAAGAAAGAAAAACAATAAAGTATATCAGATAAAATTTAAATCAATGATAATGGGTCAGAATAATAGGAGTGAACTTAAGTATATATTTTTTGAATTTGAAAAGCAATTAAAATATGAGACAAAGCCTTAATTTGTGTTATTAGTAAAACCAAACAAAGAGGAGATTTAGATTGATTTATAATATAATATATAGATGAACAAGTAAAGAATTTGAATAATAGAATTTTAGTATTTAATAAAAGAAGACAAATCAAAGATTTCTAGTTTTAAGTATAAATACTAAAAAAATAAAGTATAATTATAGGAGAGTGATTTTGGACATACAGAATATAAATTAAGATTAGTAGATCCTGATTCAAAAAGATTAACTTATTTAACAACATAATGAATTTTAGATTATCTGAAGGAAATGGAATGGCATATTATAAAATTGGAGTAGAAGATAGTGGTAATCCTTTAGGTTTAAATAAATCTGATATGCTTGGATCATTAAATACATTATGTTTAATGGCTTAATCTTTGAAGGCAGAATTATTGGTTGTAGGTATAAATGAAGGAACAAATGGAAAAAATGTGAAGTAATAGTTAGAAAAGGTTTAAAAGATGGAATAAATTTGGATATAAGAATGTTATTATTAGGAGAAAGTGGATCTGGTAAAACTTCACTTCTAGGTGTACTAAATATTGGATAATTAGATAATGGTTAAGGATTGGCAAGAATGAAATTTTTAAAGAATATATATAAAATTACATCTGGAAAAACATAAAGAGTCAGTCATACTGTTATAGGTTTTGATAGTGAAGGTAAAATTATGAATCACTAAAATCAATTAAATTTCAGTCTTACTTGTATGGTTGAAAAATTAGTAGATTTACCTACTAAATTAATTACTTTTATTGATATGGGTGGAACAAAAAGAGCACATAATTAAATGATTTAAATTATTAACTCTTAATTTACAGATTATGCTTTTTTAACCATATCTTCATTATAATAAATTGGAAAACCAACTATGGATTTTCTTAATTTAATTTAAATTTAATAAATACCTTTTATGATTGCTGTCACTCATGTTGATTAAATTATGGAACATTATTATGCAGATAAAATAGAATAATTGAAAGATATGATTAAATCATTATAAATATAAAGTGTTCCAATTGTAGTTAGAACTGAAGAAGATGTTGTCTTATTTAGTAAATAAATCCTAAGTCAAACTTTAATTCCAATATTCTTAATATCAAATTTTAAATAAAAAACATTAGATTACTTTATCGAATTTTTGAATTTGTTACCTTCAACAAATGAATTAAAAAATAATTCTAATTTAGATACAGAATATTGTATTCACAATGTGTTTGAAATTAACAATCAAAAAGTTCTTGGAGGCACAGTACTCAAAGGAATTATCAGAGTCAAATAAATCTTGTAAATGGGACCAGATAAATATGGTCGCTTTTTTCCTATTTAAATTGAAGAAATTTAATGTAATAGAGTTTAAGTAATAATAATCTATTATAAATAAAGGTTAAATCTGCTTAATGTGGATAAATATGTACAATTAGATTTAAATAAAGTAATCTTACCTAATAATTTGGATCAGATTTAAATCCAATTAGACGAGGAATGGTTTTAATTGAAGGTAAAAGCAATAAATAATATGCTTGGGATTTTCAAGCTGAAATTTGACTCTTTGATGATTAAAAAGAAGCCAAAAAAATTGCAGTTAGTTTTGAACCTGTAATAAATACTCAATGTACTAGGTAATTTATATTTATTTAATATTAGATAAATTTGTAAGATTATAAGAGAAGAAGAATTAATCTAATTTGAAACTCTAACAATAAGAAAAAAATAATCAAAATCTATTGATGAGTCTTGCATGTAAAAACCTTAAACTCCTTCAACAAGAACATCTTTTAGAAAATAAAGTGAACTACTTAAAAAAGCAAGTAGTTCTAATAATTTAAACAAATAATCATATATAGTAGTCCAAGAAGA